TGTTTTGCTTTGAAAAGAAAATATGTCGTTACATGTTGTCTGTATGTTCCAAACGATGAATAGGACACATTGCAGTATAGTTTTCAATATACTGGGGTTTTGCCATTGCTTGCCTTAGAGCCCACCTGCCTTAGAGGTCCATGGCCACTTAAGCGCCTCAGGACAGGTGTTTCTGAACCCCTGCGCCAAAGAGCCTCTCACAGCCAAAAGGACTTGCTTCGGTTCAAAAAACAGCCTTTTTAAAAAAGCACGGCTCTTTTTTCACCTGGACGTTAAAAGAGCAGTGGCAGAGTGAATCGTCTTCCTTCCACTATTTGTGGATCTAACATAAGTGTCAGTCCCTCTCAAAGGAACTTTGTGTCTTTTTTTCGGCATAAAGTGAAGTGTATTTTTATATTTTATTATTCTCCACTGACCTTCAGTGGAGCATCCATTGACCTCCATTTGCCTGATGTAAGAACGTCCTAGACGAGAACGACTTTCTCTTTATTAAATCTGAAGTGCATCTGCATAATAATAATAAAAGTAAGTAGAAGAAAAAGGAGGAGACCATGATTATTCCGCTGTTAGTATTATTTTTATTATTATTGTTTGCATGGATTGAGCAAGTAACCATAATTCTGTGATCTTTCTCTTTGTTAAAAGCTTCCTTCATGTCAAAGTTACTTCTAAATCCTGCTTAACCGGATATGGGTGTGCAGCTGCGGATTACACTTATGGCCTGCTCCCGTATTTAATCTAAACTATGGATTTTTGTCTGTCTAAACTCAGCATAGACGCTACACAACAATGAGGAAGGATTTCCATTTTGGAAGCGCTATTTCCTGACTGTTTCGCTCACATTCGCTCCCACATCTTTATCAAGTTCTGTCAAAATTATCCAGCTGTCTGAATGTCCCAGGGAGTCAGCTAAAAGTGAATCTGCAGATCTCTAATTAAAGCAGCACTTCAGTTGAGAAGGCTGATCACCACCAGAGTAGAGCGTCAGTGTGGTGTGCCTCAGGGGTATATTGTGGACATAAGGTTTTTTCCTTAGAGCCTGAAAACTGTGAACTTAAGCCTGCAGGGTTTTAGCAGTGTGATTTAAAAGAGATGTCTGTGCCCCACAGTTTTGTTTATTTGGCTTGAAATTGAGAGAGAGATAGAGCGAGTGAGCAATTTGGGGCGGGGTGGGGGAAGCACAGTAGTGCTGTTATAGTCACTTTTTGCGAGGGAAGCTGAAAGTTGGAAAATAAGCGTTTTGTTCGGCACCGGCTTGGAAATAAATGTGTGTGTGTGTGTGTGTGTGTGTGTGTGTGTGTGTGTGTGTGTGTGTGTGTGTGTCTATTAAAGGCTTTGGAAATACTTTAACTGACAATGCCCTACAGCTCTCTGCCTCTGATGATTGGCATCCTGCCTGTCTTTTTTGCGTTACTGTTGCTCTGCCGAGTTTTCAAAGGAGCCAAATCTGATCTGCCTGCTTTGTTTACTCTGCACTTGCTGGGAGAAGAGGGCAGATGTTAGGGACGGACAGAGCGAGAAGGGAGCGAGAAACAGACAGAGGGAAGGCAGACATGTTTAACAAGCCCCTCATTTACTGACAGCAAGCTCTCTCTCTCTCTCTTTTTCTCTCTCTCCCCTCTCTCAGGGCAAAGTCTCTTTCCCTCTCTCTCTCTCTCTCTCTCTCTCTCTGTCAGAGGTGTGTTTTAGTGCCCAGGCTGAGACAGATGGGAGCCCACTGTCAGGAAAAAAACGACAGATTGAGTGAGAGGAGGAGAGAGGAAGTTATGAGAGGATACAACAGAGAAGGAGAGAAGGGCGGGTTAAGGGATAAAGTATGAACAGACCGGATACATGGAAAGGTACACAGTGGACGCAAAGGCCAGGGTGTAGCAGGAAAATAACTAATTTGGTTTCTTCTTTCCAATTATAACAATAATAATAATAATAATAATAATGATAATAATAATAAGCTATGAGATCAAATAAAAGAAGTTGTTGGCGTGATAATGCTTATTTTATTATTATTATTAATACTATTATTATTAACAGTAGTAGTAGTAATAGTAAAGTAATAATAACAGTAACAATAATACAGTCATATGCAGATTTCCTGGGCAAATGACATGTTTTGTTGAAAATACCTGAAAACGTCCTCTGCAGTGAAAACACTTCTGCACATGTCCATATTGGGAAAAAATGAAAGTTATGGCACATGCCATGTAAGTTTCTTCCCTTATTTCACTCATTCATTCCTTCCTTTCTTTCATTTTTTCTTACTTTCTTTCACTTACCCATTTTTTTCTTTCTTTTACTCCTTCTTTTATTTCCTTCTGCTCATTTTAATGCACATTGTTTATTTACTGATTTTCTCTAAAGCTGCTTTGTGATGATGCCTGTTGTAAAAATCACTACATAAATAAATTTTGACTTGACTTTTGACCTCTAATATGCAGGTGTTTACTGAATTTAACATATTAGAGAAACAGTAAAACCTAAATGTGGCCTGTGCAAAAGCCATGTCACATTTTATCATTTTAATTTTTCTCCAGTCTGTTAAACTCAGCAAGTAAATAGAACATGTGTGCTGAAATTAGCAGAAAAAAGCCTTGTTTAAGTTTGTTCTCTGTGATTTATTTTCACTTAGAGAATCGATTAAACATGCAATTTGAAACTTTTGCATATGACTGTAATTTTTAACACCCGCATATTAGAGTTTAAGAGTCAAGTCAAAAATTATTTATATGGTGATTTTTACAACAGGCATCATCACAAAGCAGCTTTAGAGAAAATCTGAGTCCAAGCCACAATGAGGAAGCCAAGAGCAACAGTGGCAAGAAACCTTGAGAGGAACCAAGACTCAAAAGAGGATCCGGCTCCTCGACACTGGATAGCAAAACAATAACACAACAAGAGTAAAATGAACAGTGGATAAGATTTTACAGTTAATATACAATATTGAATAGAGATGAAAAGAAAAAAGAAAGCAGTATTAAAGTATTAACTATTATTATTTTGTTGTTTGTAATAGTACAGCAGTAATAATAATAATCATAACAGTCCCAATAATAATAATAGTAATTGTCTGTTGTCTATTAGACACCTACATGACAGTTTATTTTAATAATCATAAAGCATCCGCTTTCATCTGCGAGCTCTAAGAGTAAATAAACTCCTGTGAGTCTTCACCTCGACAAGGCTGCGTAGTTGACAGTGTTAAATTATGAGGAATATGAGCCGGAGGTTCAGACCCAAATACGCGCTCCTAGATCCAGCTGATACACACTGATCTGTGCTCGGTGATGAATGGGATGATCTTTAATATGAACAGAGTGTGCTGAGTGCCAAAGCAGTGCATTCTGGGGGCATTTTTTTTTCATCAGGTTTTATCAGGACACTATTTTATTACTTTAACTTGCATGTCTATCAATCCGGCGCTGTGGCAGAGGCTATTACCCTGATGAAAAAAAGGGCAGGGTGGGGGAGGGGGGCACTGATTTATGGGTGATTCATTATTTACTGACTCTGTGCCCCTCCCTAGTAGCCTGACCCACCCCCCTTTCTGTCACCCCCCCCCTCTCTTACACACCCCACTAAAAGCTCAGTAAAAATGCACCCATTTGATTGATTCTAATAGCGGACTGACAGAGATTCAGCTACTTTACCATGCATGTGTGTGCGTGTGTGTGTGTGTGTGTGTGCGTGTGTGTGTGTGTGTGTGTGTGTGTGTGTGTGTGTGTGTGTGTGTGTGTGTGTGTGTCTGATATATGGTTCTGCTGTACTCTGCGTTAATAGGAACACAGAAGTTGCATATATGAGTGCACCAGCCTGCTTTATCAAGAGCCTCATCTCCAATTCACTCCAAAAGCCTCTCCTTGACTTCACAGGCTGCTGCCTCTTATATGACTTTTCATTCATTGTGGACCTTCGTTTTCACTGCAGCCTCTGCAGCTACATCAGTCTCAGATGTTGGTGGAATCTGCTGATGTGGTTGGTTGAAATCATGCTGTCATATTCGAATGCCGTGTTCTTTTGAGAGATCCTGCTTTGTGTGTGTGTCAGGAAGGTTTGTGTTTCGTGCGCTGAGGCTGCACTTTTCACACACAGCTGTTTGACTTTATGTGGACAGGTGATGGCCGATCTGGACCTTTCGCTGCTGAATCATTCCTTTAGACTGGACACTGGTAGACCTGTGCTTAGCTCACTGTTAAGACTGCAAACGCGTGTGTTGATCCTCACCTTGTCTTTCTTTCTTTCTCATTTCCTTACTTCTTTCTTTCTTTCTTTCTTTCTTTCTCATTACCTTACTTCATTCTTTCTTTCTTTCTTTCTTTCTTTCTTTCTGTGTCCTTTTTTTCTTTCTTTCTTTCTTTTTTCTTTCTTTCTTTCTTTCTTTCTCATTTCCTTCATTCTTTCTTTCTTGCTTTCTTTCTTTCTTTCTTTCTTGCTTTCTTTCTTTCTTTTCCTTCTTTGTTTGTTTGTTTGTTTGTTTGTTTCTTTCTTTCTTTCTTTCTTTCTTTCTCTCTCATTTCCTTCATTCGTTTGCTTGTTTATTCCGTTTTTTCCTTCCGTCCTTTCCAATTTCTTTGTTTTTTTTCTCTTTTTTTCTTTCTTTCTTTCTTATTTGTCTCTTCTGTTTCCTTCCTTTCTTGCTTTCTGTCACATTTCTTCCTTTTTTTTCTTTCTTTCCTTTCTTACTTTCTTTCTTTCTTTCTTTCTTTCTTATTTGTCTTTTGCATTTCCTTTCTCGCTTTATATCATATTTCTTCCTTTTTTCTTTTGTTCTTTCCTATTCCCTTCCTCCTTTCGCCCATTCCTTCCTTCCTTCCTTTCTTTCTTTCTTTCTTTATTTCTTTTTCTTTTTTCCCTCCTTTCCTATTTCATTTCTTTCTCATTTCTCCTTCCCATTTCCTTCCTCCATTCCTTTTTCCCATTTTTCTATCCTGCTATCTTATCCCCTTCCTTATTTCTGTTCACTCTCTCTTTCTCTCCATCTCTCTCTTTCTCTCTCTCTGTAACAGAGAATGAGTATCGGGGGGAGCTCCTGAACCAGCGCTGGACGCGAGGAGACAAGATCAGCCGCTGCCGGCCCTCTCTTAGACCACACAGCCGACCAATCACAGTGAGTCCCCCCTGTTCAACCCATCCAATCACAGTGTCCGCAGGTTTCTTTAACAATCAGAAGAGATGTTAACTTCACTGTGGTGTGAGAGGAGCAGGGAGTCACATGGTGCTTTATCCAATTCTACAAATTCTGACACACGCTATATGTTCAAAGGTAGACGCCTACATATCTTCTGAAATAATAGGTGTTAATAGGAAATTTGTCCCCCCTTTGCTGTGAGGATTTGATTGCTTTCAGCCACAAGAGCATGAGTGAAGTGTTTGATGGAGCTCCAGCACTCCAGCAGTTCCACTGCTTCACAGCCCAATCCTGGGTGGCTTTATACCCCTCTAGCCGACACTTGACATTGGGCTTGATGACATTAGGTTCATGTGTAGCTGCTCCAGTGTGTCCCATTCTATTAGTAATGCTGTTCCATTGAGACGGTAAAAGCTGTGTATGAACAACTGTGTCAGCAATAGTTGCACCTTAAAGTAGCTGAATTCACTAATTAGAAAAGGCGTCTTCATACTTTAGCTGTGTAGTGCATCACCAGCCAGTACAGTCCCTGATACCTCATGAACACATTGATTACAACTTCACAAGTTGCTAATTGACTTGAAACTACTAGTAGTTGCGATTTGGTGACATGACAGTTGTCCAATGAGTTGACAGTGACTGAATTAACCCTTGTGTGGTGTTCAGGTCTGTGGGACCCATTTTAAATGTTTACCAAAGGAAAAAATGATGTGATTTATTATTATTTCAACCCCAGATTCTTGGCTTTTTCTGTGAAGAACATATACAATAACCCATTTTCAGTGTCTTCACTCTGTTCACCCCCCACACATTTATATTACACATGTGGTGTTAGGTGAACCCGCGGGGAGTAAAAGTGTGGAGGTGCTGTGTCCTTCACTCTGTTCTCCTCCTACATGGCCTGCTGTTAGTGTGTGTGTGTCTGTGTGTGTGTGTGTATGAGGGTGAACAACATGGACAGGCTGCTGACTGGCTACAGCTGCTAAAGGAGAACCCTACGCTGGCCACTTGTGGTATTTTAAACATCTGGCATTTTTGCATAAATTGTTGTGACTGTATTATAAAATAACAATAATGCGGTGGGTCAACCAGACCACTAAGCAACAAACACATCAACACCACACAAGGGTTAACCACTATAACAAAGTCCTGCACAGTTTATACCAACTTGGCCTGATACCAGTCGGGGTAGAGCCAATGTAACCTCCTTAAAAATGAACTGTGCATGTACTAAGTGTCCTATATGCTGTTGGGACACTGTGTCTCTGCCTGTCTGACACTCTCCCAAATTTCAAAAGGTAATTTTCAGAGGCTTCTTGCATTATTTAAGGGGGGTATAGAGGTTTGAAAGTGGGTATGTCCTTGAGCTGCTTTTGTTTGCTCTATTTTCATCAGCATAAAAAAGGTCCCCCTCCCTTTCTCTCTCTCTCTCTCTCTCTCTCTCTCTCTCTCTCTCTCTCTCTCTCTCTCTCTCTCCCCTGCTCCCTTTCCCTCCCTCCTCCCTCCTCCCGCTTTACCACTTCTGCTTAGGTGTGTGTTTTGTCCTCTGAGTGGTGCCTGAGTCTTTTTTATGCCTTTCTTTTTGGAACAGCCTGTTTTTGCGCAGCCTTCCATCTCTTTCATTGCCCTAATAGGAATCTCATTGGAGAGGTGTGGATAGGGGCCATAGAGGTGGAAGGTGAGAGAGAGAGAAAGAGAGAGAGAGAGAGAGAGAGAGAAAGGGAGGGAGAGAGAGTTTAAACACTCTTTCCCCAGGGGCCTAGTAAATGTATGTAAATGCGTTTTTTTACTTTGCCTCTGATGGAAAGGATTCATCTGAAGCAACTGAAGCGAATGATTTATCGATCCGATTTGATATGTTTTAAAGGGACAAGCGCTGCTTTTAAAAACATCCAATTAGATAATGCCACACTTTGAGAGATCAGCAGCATCTAGAAGGCTGCGGAGGAATCGGAGGCTTGTGCTTAGCTTCAGTTTGTGTTAAAGGCTTAAAACATACATGGGGGGTGGGACTAGATAAACACACACACACACACACATCATCTAAACCGCTTATCCTTCTGGGTCGGGGGGGTGCTGGAGCCTATCCCAGCTGTCGACTAGATAAATAATAAAGCATAAACAAAGGAGCATAAGCATGCACAAAAAAAAAATCATCACTTTACAGGAGAAGGAAAAAAACGTTCTTAACTTGCAATGAAAGTTAATGGAAAAATATTTCTGTCAGACTAATTTTGGAGCTTTTCTCTTCGTCTCTTCATTCATTATGAAATTTTAAAACAAAGGAAAGGGTAACTGAAACTTGTTAATAAAGTAAAAAACGCCAAAAATGGGGATATAAGTATTGCACACATACCACACAAGCACTTTAGTACATAGGCAGACACACACACACCTAAATAAATATGCAAGTACAGCACATATGGGTGCACAATGTAAGTGCATATGCAAATACTGCATACACATACATAAGCATGCATGCATATAGTGCATGCATTGGCACATACACACAGAAAACGTCAAGTACTGCACGTTTAGGTACACATGCTTAAATGCGTAAGTATGTATTGCTGTCGTTGGAAGAAAACCTTGTATCTCCAAACTGGTAACTTTAAAGGAAAAGGAAAAAACCTTCTTTACTTTTAATGTAAGTCAATGGAACCAGACTTTTTTCCAAGTTATTTTCGGTCATTTCTTTTGGTCCATTCTTCATGAAATTTACGCACAATGTAAAACACAACAGATATTTTCAGGTTATGACAAAAACTGAAAAACGACAAAAATGTTGATTTCTTCCGACAACAGCGATATGATACATCAGCACAGCTTTGGCTTTGCGTTTACTTTTGGCAACAGTTGTAATGAGATATTATTCATGTGGAATGATGGACAGATGTAATTATGTACAGAGAAAAGAATAAATTTACATCATTTTAATACAGTAGCACTATTATTTTGTTCTTAGCAGTGTGCCAGCCCAATAAAAGCTCTAGCTATGCCCAAAGAAATCAGCTGTGAGAGTCTGATGATGCTGTAAAATTATGTCAAAAACTGAAAAACGACAAAAAAGGAGACAGCAGCGACATGCAAGTTCTGCACAAACTGCCAGACGTACATACAGGTAGTACACACTCCCACACACAAACATAACCCCCCCTGCATGTCAGTCAGTGCTTCCATTAAATCCACTTGTCCTCTGCCTATAATAGACGGGCAGGACGGATCTCCTTGACGACGGCATCGGACTCCTGTAATTGTCCGTCACTGTCCGCAGGTAATTTCCAAACCGTCAGTCGCCCTGTCACTCGGCCGCCGGTTGCCGAGCGGCACCGGGTTTGGCACTCCTCATGTAAACGGGGGAGAGGAATAAAAGGCTCATTTATTCACACCAGGGGAGGAGAGGTGACCTTCTTTGTGGAGTCATTGCCCCCAGCCAGCAATTTACATAGAGCTGTCAGACCAGCGAGAGAGAGCAGGTCCGCCGCCTGCCTATACGGAGAGCGCAGAGGGACATAATTAATAATGCAGCACACACAGCCTGCAGGGAGGCACACGCGCGCCTCCCCTTACTCTAACTAATAAAAACCAACAGCCTTTATTGTACGCTTTCTGTAGAATTCATGATCCCCCCCCTCTCTCTGTCTCCCTTTATCTGTCTCTCTCGCTTTCAGTATCTGTGTATGTCTCTCTCTCTCTCAGTTCCTCTCTTAAACTGTGCATCTCTTTCGCTCTATCTCACTGTCTTGCTCTCTCTCTTTAACTATGAACATATGTCTCTCTCTCTCTTTCACTGTCTATGTATCTCTCTCTCTCTCTCTCTTTTTCTTTCTCTTTCTTGCTCTCTCTCTCTCTCTGCTCCTTTCGTTCTCTATCTCTTTCTCTTGTACTCTCTCTCTCTGTTTTTTCTTCCTCTCTTAAACTGTGCATCTCTGTCGCTCTATCTCACTGTCTTGCTCTCTCTTTTTAACTATATACGTATGTCTCTTTCTCTCTCTTTCACTGTCTATGTGTCTCTTTTTCTTTCTTAGACTGTGTCTTTTTCTTACTCACTCTCTTGATTCTCTCTCTCTTTTTCTTGCTCACCTAAACTGTGCACCTCTCTCTGTTGTTCTTTCTCTCTCTCTGCTCTTTTCATTCTCTATGTATCTCTTTCTCTTTCACTCTCTATGTCTCTATCTCTCTCTTTTTCTTTTTCTTTTTCTCTTAAACAGTGCTTCTTTCTTGTTCTTTCTCCCCCTGCTCTCTCTCTCTTGTCCGTTTAACTCTGTGTATGTCTCTCTATCAGTTTCTCTCAAACATTATGTCACACTTTTTCTCACTCTCTGGCTCTCTCGCTTTCTCTGCTCCTCTTTCACTTCTATGCACCTCTATCGCTTTCATTCCATCTCTCACTCTGTCTCTCTTGCTCTCTGTTCTTCACTTAACCTGCCTCTCTCTCTCTCTCTCTCTCTCTCTCTCTCTCTCTCTCTCTTCACTTATATCTTGCTCTCTTTGCTCTTTGTGTATCTCTCTCTCTCTCTCTATTGCTCTCAGTTCTTCCTCTTATTCTTTTGTTATGTCTCTCTCTCATCTCTTTCCCCCATCTGTCTCGCTCACTTTCTCCCTTCTCTTTCTCCTTCACTCGTCCTCCCTCCTCGTCTCTCTCTCTCTTCTACTAACACTCTCGCTCTGTCTCTCCGGTTAATGTACATTCTCCGGTCAAAGACCGCAATTAAAGACTTAAAGAAAAGCCTGAGACGAAGGACAGGTTCTAGCGTAACACTGAAAAAGGCCTTTGAAAGAGATATAGGATGAAGCAGATGAAGCCGAGCAGGCCGCACCATTCTGACAGGCTTTCTTTTATTTCTTTATTTTTTTGCAAGAGTACAAATTTAATGAGGTGGAATTTGAAAAAAGAAGCAAGGGGTGATGCGAACTCTGATGTGTTTTACCTATTTGAAAGGAACGCACGTGTAGCTATGGTTACGCAAACATGAAAGCAACGTGAGTCTCTATTACTGCCTGCGCGATTCATGTGTCGACTATCAGCTAAAGAGGGGAGGAGGAATGAAAGGAGGGGGGGGTGAGGAGGAGAGAGGAGAAAGAGGGAGAGAAAGCAGAGCACAGTATCATCATTAAGAGGAGAGAGAATGAACGGGGCTCGTCTGCTCCTGCCCTTTGTGTTTTGGGGTCAGCAGCCACGTTTCGGGAGCACAGAGAGGGCACTGACGACGCCTCCTGACACAGTGCTAGCGTTCATCTCAGCTGGCCTTTTTGATGTGCGCGAGCAACAAACTTTTCTCGCAAGCCAGCAAGTTGAGCGCCGTGTTTGAGCTCCGATCACAGAGCACAAAGCCGGCTTGTTGCACAAGCCGCTCAAAAAAAGTCCCACTTGCTAGTGTGTGTGTGTGTGTGTGTGTGTGTGTGTGTGTGAGTGTGAGAAAGGAAGAGAGATGGTCGCCGCCGCCGCACCTGTACACCCGGATGCGTGCAGACGTCCCACCCCCCCAACACACAACCAACTTTTTATCCCCACGCCCATCGCACACACAACACCCCCATTTATCCCGCACTGTGAAAAAAGACAGATATCGGCAGGAAGTGCCAGAGAGAGAGAGAGTGGGGGGATGAGACAGAGGAGGAGAAAGAGAGTGTGAGGGAAAGAGAAACTCCTGTGTTTAACTCCACTGTGCTCCTGCCAGGTTTAGGGGCCTTCTTCCAACAAAGCTGCTAAGTGGAGTTCAGATGCAGGGTCAATGGGAGGGAGTTTTTTTTTTAGGGGGCTGGCATTTGCATGAAGGCCATTCGATTTCCAGCGCACTCTGGTAATCAAGGCTAATGGCGCCATTGTGCCTTAAAAACAGCCGATAGCTTTAGAGTGAGCTCATTCTAGTGCCTCTGCGAGCGCGAGTGCGTGCGCGAAACAGAGTTTGACACCTGCTCCTTTGTGCCAGAAAGCGACAGTCTAGCGCACGCAGCAGCGCGAGGGCCTTATGAGAGAGGAATTACAGTGATTTGGAGTGACTGTGTTTGTATTATTGTTAGCCCTATGCGTATTATTACTATTATAATTACCACTCACGCATCCCATGGGGCCTCGGTCACAAATGGGCTTTTTTTTCCCCCCGCAGATGCCCCGCACACCCACCCCCCCACCCCCAAAAAGCACCGGCTAATCATATTGATTGTTCAGGTGCAGCAAATTGCAGGGTGGTGAAGCGATAGAGAGCAAGAAGGACAGGAAAAGAGAGAACGCAGCGTAGAATTTTTTTAGGGGTGTAGAGTTTTTTTTCCCCTTTGACGTCTGTAGGAGTGTATTTTCATACACTTTTACAGGAATATATTTTTTTCCTTTTTGCTTCGATAGAAATGCGTATTTCTTTCATTTTTGTAGGAGTGTAGTTTTTATTTTCACAGATATAGGAGTGTAGTTTTTTTTTTCCTTTTGCTTCTATAGTTTCCATTTACCCATTCACCTTTATAGGGCTGTAGTTGTTTTCCTTTCACTTCTATAATGGAGTAATTTGTTTAATTTACTTTTACAGAAGTGTAGTGGTTTTTGTTCTATGGCCTTTTTTGGAATGTAATTTTTCATCTACTTTAATCAGAGTTTGTTCCATTCATTTCTATAGTAGTGCGGATTATTTTCTTTTCACTTTTATAGGGGCATAATGGTTTTCTTCTTTTCAGTTCTTCCCTTACCTCTGTATGAGTGTAGTTTTTTCTTTCATTGTTTGTAATTTTTCCTGTCACTTCTATAGAGATGTAGTTTTTTCTTTTCAGAGAGTTTTTTCCTCTCACTTCCATAGAAGTGCATCTTGTTCCTTTTAATTCTATATGAATGTGATTTTCTTCTCTCAATTCTGTAGGACCAGTTTTTCCATTTGCTTCTATAGGAGTGTTGTTATTTAATTCACTTCTATAGGAGTGTAGTTTTCCTCTCACTTCCATAGAAGTGCATCTTGTTCCTTTTAATTCTATATGAATGTGATTTTCTTCTCTCAATTCTGTAGGACCAGTTTTTCCATTTGCTTCTATGGGAGTGTTGTTATTTAATTCACTTCTATAGGAAGGTAGTTTTCCATTTACCACTATAGGAGTGTCGTTGTTCCATTCACTTCGGTAGGAGTGTATTTGGTTTCATTCACTTCTATAGGAGTGTATTTTACCCATTCATTTGTGTAGGAGTGTAGTTCATTCCATTCACTTCTATAGGAGTGTAGTTATTCTATTCACTTCTGTAGGAGGGTAGTTTTTCCATTTACTTCTGTAGGGGGGTAGTTTTTCATTCAGTTCTACAGGAGTGTAATTTTTCCATGCACTTCTGTAGGAGTGTAGTTTCCCATTCCCTTCTATAGGAGTGTTGTTTTTACATTCACTACTGTAGTTTTTTTTTTCATTCACTTCTATGGGAGTTTAATTTTTCCATTCAATTTTCTATTCACTGTAGTGTTTTTTTGGGGGTGTACCTGTTTTTTGCTTTGTAATTGTAATGTTTTTCCTATCATTTGTAGTTTCCTTTCACTTCTATAGGAGTGTAGTTTTTTTTTTCCTTTTGCTTCTATAGTTTCCATTTACCCATTCACCTTTATAGGGCTGTAGTTGTTTTCCTTTCACTTCTATAATGGAGTAATTTGTTTAATTTACTTTTACAGAAGTGTAGTGGTTTTTGTTCTATGGCCTTTTTTGGAATGTAATTTTTCATCTACTTTAATCAGAGTTTGTTCCATTCATTTCTATAGTAGTGCGGATTATTTTCTTTTCACTTTTATAGGGGCATAATGGTTTTCTTCTTTTCAGTTCTTCCCTTACCTCTGCGTGAGTGTAGTTTTTTCTTTCGTTGTTTGTAATTTTTCCTGTCACTTCTATAGAGATGTAGTTTTTTCTTTTCAGAGAGTTTTTTCCTCTCATTTCCATAGAAGTGCATCTTGTTCCTTTTAATTCTATATGAATGTGATTTTCTCCTCTCGATTCTGTAGGACTAGTTTTTCCATTTGCTTCTATAGGAGTGTTGTGATTTAATTCACTTCTATAGGAGTGTAGTTTTCCTCTCACTTCCATAGAAGTGCATCTTGTTCCTTTTAATTCTATATGAATGTGATTTTCTTCTCTCAATTCTGTAGGACCAGTTTTTCCATTTGCTTCTATAGGAGTGTTGTGATTTAATTCACTTCTATAGGAGTGTAGTTTTCCTCTCACTTCCATAGAAGTGCATCTTGTTCCTTTTAATTCTATATGAATGTGATTTTCTTCTCTCAATTCTGTAGGACCAGTTTTTCCATTTGCTTCTATAGGAGTGTTGTTATTTAATTCACTTCTATAGGAAGGTAGTTTTCCATTTACCACTATAGGAGTGTCGTTGTTCCATTCACTTCGGTAGGAGTGTATTTGGTTTCATTCACTTCTATAGGAGTGTATTTTACCCATTCATTTGTGTAGGAGTGTAGTTCATTCCATTCACTTTTATAGGAGTGTAGTTATTCCATTCACTTCTGTAGGAGGGTAGTTTTTCCATTTACTTCTGTAGGAGGGTAGTTTTTCATTCAGTTCTACAGGAGTGTAAGTTTTCCATGCACTTCTGTAGGAGTGTAGTTTCCCGTTCACTTCTATAGGAGTGTTGTTTTTACATTCACTACTGTAGTTTTTTTTTTCATTCACTTCTATGGGAGTTTAATTTTTCCATTCAATTTTCCATTCACTCTAGTGTTTTTTTGGGGGTGTACCTGTTTGTGCTTTGTAATTGTAATGTTTTTCCTATCATTTGTAGTTTCCTTTCACTTCTATAGGAGTGTTTTCCCTTTCATTGAAATTATATAGTTTTTCCCCATCACTTCTGTATAAGTGTGGTTGCTTCTGAAAGGGACAGAATGTTCATATGATAATAGAAAAGGATGAACATTTTGTTCATTGAGGTCATTTAGCAAGCTTTTTATTTAACGAAAATTAAACTAAAATTTTAACTAAAATTTTATTTTGGTTACTGAGGTTAGAGATGAGAGTTGGGTTTACGCAATATTCAGGTACCGAGTTACAGAGTTAGCAGATGTTCTTACAGAGATAGCAGTACGTGTAAAATGTGTCCTTGTGAGTTAATTTTTAACTCTGTCTTTGTTTCTCTTGCTGTGACAGATGAGTTTGGATATTGATGACAAGCGGACGCGCACACGGTCCAAGGGAGGAAGAAGTAAGTCTCTCTTTTTCTTTCTCTCTTTCTCCCCCCGTCCATCCGACTCTAGAGTCATCACTTCCGCCGGTCAGCTAAGCATCATTTCTGCCGGTCAGCTAAGCATCAGTTTTCAGCTCCATTCAAATGGCTCCTGCTTGCTGACCTTCTAGGCCGGGTTTGCTGTTATGCACGTAACACCGAGAACCTTCAGTAGAGGATTTATGGCCGAGCGCAGTGTGGAGTGCAGGCAGAGAGATAGCATGATGAAAGATACAGAAATGCAGTCCAACATCACGAAACGGCGAACAATATAAAATGATGTTCTGCTTTGAAATCCTGCATGTCTCCCTTTGAGCTGTTGCCTGTATCAAAACGTGTCTTAATGAAAAGCTTTAAAACGCTGCTTTAATCTGAAGACCTACATAATACAGTGCATTCGCTGTGTTTTTTTTTTTTTATCCTGCTGCTACTCATTTTCAGCATAAGTGTCGTTCTCAAAGGTATTGATTTAAAAAAAAAAGGGTATGTTTACAGCTGATGGTGCTGTTTCGCTATGGATTTCACTTTTTTTGCTTTTAATTCAACTGTAACAATTAATCATCAGTTTTGCGCTGAAAGCTGCATATAGCTGCACACTTTGTTCCTCATCAAGCCTGGATGTTTTGGCTGAATCAGTTGTTCTGGGCTGCGTGTAGGCATGTGTGTATTTTCCTGCTAATGCAGTCATGTATGTTTCTGCATGTGCTCTCCAGGGATCTCTATGCGTTCCTGAGTTATTGATTGTAGTTCCCTGCGGTTATTTGCACTCTGCTTTTCTGCTTATGTTTTTACCTTCTTCATTGTCTCTCCCTTTTTTTCCACAGCTCCCACTGAGATTGTAGGACAGGAGCTGAGGTATGACAGATTTGTCCTGTGTAGAAAAACATGCCAACACTTTGCCTCTATGTGTTTGTGTGTCATGTTTAAGTTGCTTGTTCAGGTCTGTGTTCAACCACAGTCTTACTGTAAGATCCCAAAGCATCATTTTAAGGAAAATTCCCCTAACTCTGTCTAATCTGATGTGTAGTCAGCATTACGCTCTGAGACTTTGCCAGCATCCCCATCAAAATCTGCCACCAGAATCACATCTCTAATAAAATCGACACATTTTTAGGCTCAGATCTATGTACATAAGGAACTCAAGTGCTCTATTAATCATTCATGATGCCAGTATCTGAACACTGAAATCATAATTGAGGTATTCATGTTTTAGCACAGTAAGGCAGGGAAAGTAAGAACGCTATCAATTCAATACATTAGTTTTATGTTTTAAAAGGACTGTAAGATGTTATTATATTACACGTTGATACTACAAAACACCAGTGTCTTCACATGAGCAAGTTGTCAAGGATGTACTGTGATGTAATTATGAATCTAGCTGATGTTACGTAGGTCCAGAAATCATGAAAATCTTAGGCTACGTTCACATTACAAGCCTCATTGCTGAAATTAGATTTTTTGCTCAAATCTGTCATTAATGTGACGAACCGGCGTCCTGAAATGACCCTCATGAGCTCATCCTACTCAGTAACGTCACGTGAATGAATCATGTTCATCATCAGCACAAACTAACGAGCAGAACGAGCTTCGCTGAGAAGATAATTAACTCTGATCAGCTCTCAGCTTCATTATTAGAGCGAGACGAAGGAGAAAAAAGTGAGATGTGTTGCTTTTCCTCCGTTTACAGGCTTTAACTTCTGTTCGGCGCTGCTGCCATGGTAACGCTGAATGATGGCACACGCACAGTGGAGAAAAACACATGAATTCCAATCTGAGCGTCACATTAAGGTCACATGGCCACGAATCGGATACGTATCCAATCTAGGACCACATATGAAAGTGGCTCAGGTCGGATTTGAAAAGATCAGCCCTGAAAACATCAGATCTGAGTCACACTGGGGCAAAAAATCGGTTTTGTGCCACTTCAACCTGGTAATGTGAACGCAGCCTTAGAAATTCTTTGAATATTTAATCCGACAAACGTACAGGTTGGCACGTCGTCCACTAAAGAGAAAAGACCTCATGCAGAAGACGACGAGTCCTCATCAGATGCCAGAGTTGTGCTGGAGAGCTCTGGTGTTAGCTCCTTATCTCATCTGAAGAGGCAGCTCCAGAGCCCTACATTCATTTAAGCCCAAGTCAGCTTTTCTTCCGCAGTTGTTTTTTCTTACACTTATGGAAACTCAAGTATCTAAACGATGCACATCCATAGTAAGAGCATGTTATTTACATCAAAACAACAAGAGATCATCTTAAAGGAGAGGAGATTAGAAGGCAGGCTAAATTACTGACTGCACCAGCAAGTAAAAGATTAAAGGAACCCCCATGGATGATTGCCAGTTGTTTGGCTATATATTTTTATATTGAATTAAACCCCCTACACACACAGTTTTATATGGTTCTTCGTGTTGACCTTGTCAGGTTCATCTATACCTTGCTTGGATGTACTTTTGCAATGCAGTAACCAGTGTAGGCTGAAATGGCTCAGTCAAGCAGCTCTTATAGCTGTGACACTTCCCGCTCTCGTTTCTCATTTCACGGTCAAGCATGCCGTGAAGTTTACGAGGCCACGATTTACTGCCATATCCAACAGCATGAGGGTCAGTTATATAGCTAGCTGCCGTATTTTCTTGCATGCCTTAAACACTTATGTGGTTTAAACCCTTAAACTGTGAGAGCCCGTATGTGGGCCTCCTTTCCACTTGGCCTGTAAATCTGGACGAGATTTGCATAATGTTGCTAAAAACCTGCTGAGAAAGTGTAACACACAACTCAGAAAGTCTGAATTATACACATCAAACCACTATAGTGTTGCTAAGAGTCTCTGCATAGCATTGAGTTTCCAGATTAAAATGCTACGCTACTGATCTACGAAGCTCAACAACACTTTTTACTACAAAAAGGGCTACATCCTAGATCTCTGTCCTGACAATCTTTAACATATATCCAAAATAAATACCATTTGAAATGAATAATGGACTCTAGATTAAGGTATTTTGACAAAATACTGAATCATATGCTACAATGTCTTATTAGGATGGAAGTTTTGCTAGCTTTCTTTACTGAGTGTCCAGACTACAGTAGTTTGTACGAAAAGGACACATTTAGACACACTAATAATCTAACTTACATATCGCTGCTGTCAGAACAAAACCTCATATCTCCAAAATGGCTACTTTACAGGAGAAGGAAAAAACCTACTTTATTTTCAATGCAAGTCAATGGAACCAGACTTTTTTCCAAGTCATTTTGGCCCGTTTCTTTTGGTCCGTTCATCATGAAATGTGCACACAATATAAAGGACGACAGGCCTTTTCAAATTATGTCAAAAACTGAAAAACGACAAAAATGGAGATACAAGGTTTTGATTTGACAGCCGCGATATTAGAAGCAGTCATAGTAGCTACAGAGTTGCCTTAAGACTTCACAGTGGAAGACTTTGTTGGGGATGCGTTGGGGCGTGTGTTGCACCTCAAATTCTCAGTTTCAATTGTTGTCATTGTTTTGTTTTGCTACCCTTAATCGCAGGAATGCTCTCACATTTGCATTAACACAGAGTCTTACATGTAATTTGCCTATTAACACGTCTTCTCATGAATATGCATGGCCACAGGTTATCATCTTGCACGACATGCTCATAAATGGCCCTGCTGTAGTTCCTGCTGCTCTCTCATGTACTCTCTTGTGTACATTTCAACAATACGTGCCTGCTCTGCTCCTGCCTCACCGTTGGGAAGCACATAGGTGTGGAGAAGGGGAATTTGTTTACCACACGTTTAAATACGTGCAAGTGGTAATTGGCTCTGTAATTCGTTCTGTACAACCGAGAGGTGTGGAAAAACAATGGAAGGAAACTGGGAAAGGGTTCTGAACAGAAGTTGTGTTTGGAAAGACTTAAAGACTGTAAAGTTCAACGAGGCAGCTGTTTAAGCATATAGTAAAAACAGACTTTTTAAAATTAAGCACTTATTGACCTGTTCATGCTCCTCCCACAAATGATTTGTCCTTAGCAACTATAAGGTTGGGCAGAATTTCAGAACCCCATTCAACCTAGTGCAAAATCGTAGCTCAGAACAATAACATGCATTATTCAAATTGAACCACTGCGATATTTGTTTGGTGTTTAGTAACTTGTAGAGAGGAGAGTTACCACTCTTTAATGTCTTCCAGGTTTCTCAAGCGCTAGAGGGCGCTCCTGAGCAAGTCCAAAATGAATGGGTTAAGATGGAGCATTTGAGCAAAATCATAGTTTATAAATGCTTAAACATTTTTAACATAAAAGAATACAATTATTTCCTGAACACAGAACAGCATAAAACATTTTAATGTTATATTTTTAAGAGCTTTTAAACTCGAGTTATAGGAGTTTAAAACGACAGCTTATGTATGTCCATGACATCAGTGAGCACTAACAGCCAATGAGCTGCTCTGCTCGCCAACCAATCAGCACTCAGTAGCAGTAATGTTAGCGTCCTGCTTTTTTAGTGAAATACTTCACTACTTCCTTCTTCTACTTTCTAAAATTAAAGGAAAGTTCTGGGTGATTAGAAACTGTTTTAACTTTTAGTGTTTAGCCGTCGAGCTCCATTTACACCATTCATTGAGGACACGCTCGTGGGCGCCCTCTGCTGTTTTGCAGTCCTGTTTTTGATATAATGGGGGAAATAGGAAGAGGCCAGGCTCCTCATATACTTGACGTTAGCTCAATTACATTAAAAACTACATTCAGTCTGTTCTAATAGTGTGACCTTCCACATGCATACAAAATAAATATCACTAGCGTTTAACAGTGCAATCTAAATGTAGGTGTTAGTTCTCAGTTGTGGGTGGGGCATGGATACCTCAGGTTGAGCCCAAAGTTAATTTGATCTACTTCTGACCCCGTTTAGCTGTCCCACGCCAGGATGCAATGGTTCTGGCCATATCAGTGGCAAATATGCCCGACACAGAAGGTATGAAAGATAAAGAACCCACTAAACCTTTAGTCCTCTATAGTGCGTAGACCTCTGTAGTTTATAGTCCTCTGTAGATTGTAGTCCTCTATAGTTGATGGTCCTCTATAGGTCTGCTTTGCTCCCTGCACCACTTCCTCAAAGCCAGTGGCCTTTTTCTGACTCAGAGCCGTCGAGTCACCGTAGTCTTTATCTGAACATAACCTTCCCTTCTGTTTGGCCACTGTCTTTCTCTGTTTCAATCTCTCTCTCTCACTTTCTCTCTTTCTCGGTGGCCTTTACACTGGGCATTGAGTCACTTCTCCCTCCCTCTATCTCTCTATCTCTCTCTCTCTCTCTCTCTCTCTCTCTCTCTCTCCCTCCCCCTCTCCTCCTCGCTTTCTCTTTGTTTTCCTCTGTCTCTCTGCCTCCCTCTCTCGCTTCTCACCTCCCTCCCTCTCTCCCTCTCTCACCCCTCACCCTCCTCCCCACTCTTTGGTCTCTATCTCTGTCTGTGCCTCTCTGTCCTCTCTTCCCCCTTCCTCTCTTACTTCTCTTTATTCATCTCTCTCTATATATATATTCATCTCTTTCTCTTCCTTTCTCTTCCTTTTTTGCTCTCTTTCTCTCTCTTCAACTCTTCTATGTCGCCCTCCTTCCTCCTTCTTTCTTTCTATCTCTCTTTTTCTCTCTTGTCCTGTCTCTCTGTGTCGCTCTATTGGCTCTCATCTCCCTCTCTCTTTCATCCACTCTCTTTTTCAGTCCATCTCTCTTTCCCTCCCCCTCCTCTGCCTCTGTGCCTCCCTCTCTCGCACTCACCTCCCTCCCTCTCTCACTTCTCTCTCTTCCTCTCTCTTCCACTCTGTCTGTCTCTCTCACCCTTTACCCTTTTCCCCATTCTGCATTCTCTCTCTCTCTCTCTCTCTCTCTCTATCTCTGTGCCTCTCTTTCTATTTATTCCCCCTCCCTCTCTCACGTCTCTTTATTAATCTCTCTTTCCCTTTCTCTTCCTTTCTCCCTCTCTCTCTTTCCCTCGCTTCTTCTACTCCTCTATGTCACCCTCCTTCCCTCTTCTGTCTTTCTATCTCTCTTTTTCTCTCTTGCCCTGTCTCTCTGTATCACTCTCTTGGCTCTCATCTCCCTCTTTCTCTCACTAACTCTCTCTTTCTTTTTCTGTCCATCTCTCTCCTTCTTTCCCTCCCCTTCTCTCTTTCTTTCTCTCTTCTCTCTCTCTCTACTCTGTCTCTCTGCCTCCCTTTCTGGCTTCTCACCTCCCTCCCTCCCTCCCTCCCTCTCTCACTTCTCTCTCTTCCTCTCTCTTCCACTTTGTCTGCTTCTCTCACCCCTCACCCTTCTCCCCATTCTTCATTCCCTCTCTCTCACTAGCTCTCTCTGTGTCTCTCTTTCTATTTATTCCCCCTCCCTCTCTCACGTCTCTTTATTCATGTCTTTCCCTTTCTCTTCCTTTCTCCCTCTCTCTCTTTCTCTTTCGCCTTCTGCTCTTCTTGTCACCCTCCTTCCCCTTTCTTTCTTGCTATCTCTCTTTTGCAGTCCATCTCTCTGTCTCTTTCCCTCTCCTCCTCGCTTTCTCTCTCTCTTCCTCTGCCTCTCTGCCTCCCTCTCTCGCTTCTCACCTCCCTCCCTGTCCCACCCCTCACCCTCCCTCCCTCCCTCTCTCTCTCTGTCTCTCTGTCTCTCTCTCTCTCTCTCTCTCTCTCTCTCTCTCTCTTTGTGAAGCCTTCAGGGAGGGCATTGAGTGATGTCTCCAGCTTATTGGAAACATATTACAGTTGCCTTTATTTACATGTGTATCTGTTCAGGAGGCCATTTTAGATGCATCGTGTTTATAGATCTCTCTGTGTCTTGCTTCAATAGCCAGGCTTTCTAGGTGAGGGCTTTATTGAATTTCGCCCTCCGCTGCTATTCTCTCTCTCTATCCGTCTTTCTCTCTCTCTCTCTATTCCTCTTTGATTGTGGTATAATTAAGTGTTCCAGTCAATTGACTGTAATGTACAATGCTTTTTAGCCAGCACAGCGCCCTCCCTGGGTCACGCAGAGCATTGCATCATTCCTCCTTTTCAGTTCCCATTGCTTGACGAGTGTTCTTTGCATGGTTTGTGTGTAACTGCAATTCTTGCTGAAACTTTCACTCAACTCTAGTTGCTTTAAACTTACATTAAAGTAGGTTTCACTTGAGTTGCATAATGTGAAGCCTCCTGCAGTTCACTTAGAACTTGTTCGAAACGCTGCCGCAACGGTTGCAGCCACCTCAGTGAAATGAAATGAAAGTTTCGTGAAACAGCCAAGGGCAAACATGGTCACATCAAACGATATTATTTTAGTCAAATGATTCAACACATCATCAACAACAAAACAGACGTGGTCTCTTGGAATAGTGTTGCTTATTTGCTAGTTAGCTTGGATTTACAAGCTAGTTAATTAGACAGCTAACATTAACATGATAACTGTTCAAACGGCTGATTTTTTTCTGCTTCGCTATCTTTCTATATCGTGATCTGCATAGGTAGGTTGTTCATTTTCTCCTCCTTTCACAAAAAAATGATTCACTGTACAAAGTGAGAGGTCAGCTCAACTTAATATGATATAGTGACTGATTACATGGCTTTTCTTGAGTTGACTCAACTTGAGGACACCAGAGTTCACACAACTCAAACTTCTTAGTTGAGCCAAAATTTCTCCCAGCTACTGTTTCTAGCTCTGCAGCTCAGTTAGATAAACAAAACTAAAGCCATCTGGCATATTTTGCTCTGGGGCTACCGGATATGAACATCGATGGTGTCACTGGGATTCAAACTCACAATCTCCTGATGTTGGGATGAATTCTTAGACAGTTACACCACATGAGACGACACCATGCTTTAAAGTAAAACAACAAATATTTTCTCCAGTGTATTAAACATTTATAGACACACAATCTGAGTTGTGGTGCAGTGGACTAAGCCATCATCCTAACAGGAGGTTGTGAGTTTGAGCCCCAGAGATGCCACAGCCGTAAGGAAGAATGTCTGGGATTGATCGGATTACTGACAAAATCTGATTTTCTGCAGTTATCGGATTATTAAGCGCATGTAAACACACTCAATGTTTTGTTTTTCTTTGCTTTTGCCATATTATGTGGACATAATGTACACATTTGAATTAAGTTCAATCAGCGCATCATTTTTTTCTCTTTAACTAGTATGTTGTGTGCAACAACTTTCTACCTATAACTAGTCTAGTTGCGTGAAAGTTTCAGCTTTATGTTGCCATTTGGTGTGAATTTCATGAACATAAACAGGCCCGACTCGTTCATCCAGAAGACTTTTCCTTCCCTCCTTTTCTCTTAGCACTCTGAGCTGCCCAGTGGCCAGAAAGAGGAGGCTGCAGGAGGAGGAGGTGGAGCAGCAGCAACCGGTCTCCAAGAGGAAGTCCCATCCCCTGAAACTGGCGATGGACGAATGTTTTAACGCCGAGAGCGACGGCAGTGGTGAGGAGATGGAGGTGAAGGAAGAGGATGAGGAAGAAGACACAGAAACCCAGCAGCAGTGTCACGATGAAAAGCCTCAGGAGGAAGAGGAGCAGAAACCTGAGAGCAACGACACAGAGGAGGCAGACGAGGCTGATGAAGGTGAGTGTTAAAATGCAACAGCCTTGTCACATGTCCGTGACTACAACAGCCTGTTGCCATAGAGACACAGGAGGACAGCCCAACCAGCCCAACATGAGAGGGTTGAAAAGAATTCAGAAATAGAATCATGAAATGCGCTGAAGTATTTCCTCATCCCACATTCTTAAAAACAAAGGTTGCAGTAAAGGTACTTATGAAGGTACTTTAGAGCAAAGCAGTAGAGGAACCTTTCAGTTGAGTCATTTTAATTACATTTCTTGAGAAACATTCAGTGAAAGGCAGAAGTGGTTCTACAGCATCGCTCCAAAGAACTCGAGTGAAGCTCGCTTTCTGTTTCATCTCTGTCATACCAAAATTTCAACTTTCATTTATTTAGGTCTGCCAAGTGAATAAAATAATGAATCGTTAATAATCACATTCGTGTTGAAGTTATTCACAATTAATAGAAGTTGTTATTGGCTTAAATTGGACCCTGAGAAAGATTTTGCACTTTAAAAAGCATTACATTTCACTATAGTTATATGACTGGACAAAATAAGCATCATCAGAATGTGTTTGAAGAGTTTCATTACAAAATACTGTAAATCGATACGTAATAATTTCAAATAGCGCGAGGATTTGACAAGAATAACAGATCATTTTAATGGAAAACACATTTCTCAAATAAGGCCTATATTAAGGATAATATAGCATTAATATTTCGTGTAGCCCAGTTCCAACAACATAATAAATGCACATGAAACATGTTCAAATGAGAGTCAATAGTACCAGCTAATTCTGACTCCTCTCCAGTTGTTGCCCCCTGACTCTCGTACTGCTAATTCCATCTTGTTTTGTGGGGAACTGTAGCTTTCCACTTTGCTGTTGCTTTTGTTTGTTTGCTGCTCATTGATTTATCCATAGATCTTCCTTGAGCACTGTCCAGCGTGGTGTGGTGTGAATTACTGTTATTCCTGATGTCGAAGTGATTTTCTTGTAAATTAAACTTCAGACTCAGTGTACTTTGGTGAAAAATAAATTCACAGCATGGCAGTAGCTGGAAATTACTGGCTTTCAAAAGAAGTTCAAAAGAATTGAAGTTGCAATTTTAAAGCTGCGTTTGAACTAGAGGGCTACCATCATGGAGTCAGTCATAGCAACATACAGCACTAGCAGCTGGGCTTCGTACTGGTTCTGAGGGTCAAACTGCATTAATGGCATTAAAAAGTTAGTGGTGCTAATCATTTATTGCATTATTACCTTATTAACGTGAACTTCGACACCAATAGTAATTTTTACACTATTTGAAAACATTGTGTCCTTTATATTGTGTATGTTTATGACAAATAAATGAGAATTTACCATTTTGGAGAGACTATTTTTCTCATGGAAGCAATTAACTGTAATATTGAAGATAATTGTGTTAATTTTGTTAACTCTATAAATGATTTGTTAAGCCCTAGAAGTCAGAGTTATTGCCAGTGATAACAAAAGTATGGCATCATTTGGTAATTATTTTGCGCTAGCTCATTTAAAAGCTGAAAAAGCTGTCAAAAGTTTAGGTTCTACACTTGCAAACAATACTAAAGAAATATTAAATCAAAACTGCAGAAAGAAGCAAATCTTTGAAGTCATCTTTTAAAGGTGCAGCCTCAAAGCTATCGATACAGAACACAAATTAAATTCAAATACTTAACTGCATAACTATATGTGATCTGTTCATCACTGTTGGGACAAAACCTCATGTCTTCAAAATGGTAATTATACAGAAGAAGGAAAAACTTTCATGAACTTTCAATGCAAGTTAACGTAACAATTTTATTTGAAATAATTCTATTTGTCTGTTCGCCATGATCTGTGTGGGTTTCCTCCAGGTACTCCGGTTTCCTCCCACAGTCCAAAAACATGCAGTCAGGCTGATTGGACATGCTAAATTGCCCCTAGGTGTGAGTGTGTGTGTGAATGTGTATGTATGTCTGTCTGCCCTGCGATGGACTGGCGACCTGTCCAGGGTGTATCCTGCCTTCCGCCCAATGACAGCTGGGATAGGCTCCAGCACCCCACCGTGACCCAGAAGGATAAGCGGTTTAGATGATGGATGGATGGATGTTCGCCATGAAATTTTAAAACCATATAAAGGTCTTTTGGCTCTGTTAAATGGAGATACAAGTCTGTGTTCTAACAGTGATGTATTACTAAGTAATTACTACTTACTAAAGTGCCTTTTGGTAGTATAGCAAATCTAGAAGGGTTAATCATAATTAAAGCAGTGCTTGTTACCAAGCCGTTGTTCTCTCTCCCACAGAGGAGTGCATGATTATTGAGGCATCCAGCACAGAGAAGCCTAAAGCTGCAGGAACCGATGACCTCTCCAGCTACCAGCACATAGTGGCCAACTCACTACTGCACCTCAGCAACCGTAATAACCATGCCACGTCTCCACGACAACAACAGCAGCAGTCGGTCACCATGGAGGCACTGGAGGACAGCCCAACCAGAGAAGAAGAAGAGGAAGAAGAGGGAAGAGAGAAGGAGGTGGCCAAAACAACAGCTCAGATGTCTCAGATGAATGGAGTGAATGGGGAAACAGAGGAAGAGGAGGAAGAGAGGATGCAGAATGGAAGACAAGAAGAGTCAGATCACCAGTACTTCACAGAGGAGATCAACGTACATCTGCGTGAGCATCATGAGAAGCCACATAAGGAGGAACCATACAAGGAGGAGTATGAAGATGATGAAGTCGAAGAGCAAAAGACAGAACGGAACAGCCTTTTCAACCCCTCTGTGATCACTGCAGCTCAGGGATCCCACATGAACGAAGACTACATTACCCACAAACCCTCATCCCCAGAGAACTACACTTCCAGCAAAGCCTCGGCAGCCCCCGTATTCATCGAGGTGCGGTCTGAGGGGTCAGATAGGGACGACAAAGACGGAGATGATGATGAAGAGGAGGACAATGACAGTTTGTCCCAGCGCTCAACGGTGGCGGATGAGTCAGAGATGTATGATATGATGCGGGGCAACCTGGGCCTACTGGAGCAGGCCATCGCTCTTAAAGCCCAGCAGGTCAAAGGTCACCGAGAATTCCCGCACACTCCTGAACACCATCGCTACTTCCACCTAGATGACCGGCCCATCAAACACATGGAGCAACTGCGCAAGAGCTACTACGGCAAAGGTATCAGCAGAAATGTCATTGAAAATGTGCCTTTACAATAACTTACATCCCGCCTTTAATATATCTACCTGTCTCAGTTATTAACCGTTTGTTTGCATTTTTACATGAACATTTCTTAAAACAAGAACAAAGTTCTACATCTTCCACTCACTGGGCACTTTTGGAGGTCCATCTAACTTCTACGTCCACTAAATAGTGCCAGAAAAGGTTCTTTAAAGCAGTGACATAATAGAACTGGTACCACTTTATCTGGATAGCCCACTGTAAATGCTTGGATTTAAAGTACATTTCAGTAAATAGTTATTATTTTTACTTTATTTTTTCCCTAACCCTAACCTTAACCCTGGCTCTAATTTTAACCCTGACCTTAACCTCAACCTCAAACCTAACCTTAGTCCTACCTTAAACCTAACCATGGTACTAATCCCAAACATAACTTGAACACTATGGAGAATCAACAGATAGTTTCTAAATAATTTGAACATCTATATTCAACGGGAGCCTATCCAGGTAAAATGGGGCCGAAGAACCACATTTGGAGTTTAAAGAACTTAGAAAAACTTTTAGAAAGTTTAATTACCCTCAACACAGTAGCCACATTTATATGCAGCATAATAATTTGTTAATAATCTGACTAATAGCTCAATCAGTATAGAATATGTGCATGTATATGCCTCAATCGGAATAGATTAGTCCAATTAAGGCCATTCTGAATACAGTTTCTGTCTGATTGAACGAGGTGGGTAATCCTGTAAATAATGCGTTAAATAACAGAATAATATCCGTGTAAACGCCTGTATCTGATTACATTCCCAATCGGAAAGTTTAAGCCCGTTCTGATCATGTTCGTCGCGTCATAGTGAAAGTTTATACCGTTCAGCATGGCGGAGCAGAAACTGGTCTGCAGAGGAGACGAAGTTTATGCTCTGATCTTTAAAAGACGGCGGTGGGACGGACGTCCAGCTTATGTGTCTCAGAACACGACGTCTTCCTCTCGGCCTTCTTTAATAAGGACACGTGAAGGAGTCTGACATCATTTTAAAGCAATTGAAAACACAAGCACTGCTCACTGCTGCTCATCTCACTCTGACTGGACTCACGTGATGCTCGTGGTCATGGTAACGTCTACACTGAGTGGTTCTCTATGCATGCGTGTAATTTTGGATCTGATTACTTGTAGTGAGCATGTAAATGGAGATTTTCCATCAGAGTGTTGAGTAGAGTGAGTATAAACACCTCAGTCTTAATCTATTGGAATGTATTCAGTCGGATCGGCAAAAAATCTTTGCATGTAAACACAGCCAGTGTAAAGCTTCTGTACTAATTAAAGGTTTTTCCTAGAACTGTGTGTTCAAGAACCATTTTAGATCTTTATTTTTGAGTGTGTATCTTAGTACTTACACCTGCTTTTATAGATTGTAGACCATCTGTTCTAATGCATTTGTCAGCCATCATGTATCCCATTCATCACTGCCAGTTTCTGACCGAAGCACTGCAAAATACAGCAGTGACACTGATGTACAAGTGGCATGGTTGTATGTGTGACGCTGGTACAGGTGTATGAGGCACAGCGGTGCTGGTGGAGTTTTTCACTGCTTGGTCTAGAGTGATCACTTCTGTGGTCATAAAACTGACACTGATGAAGGAAAAATGTTGAAGAATTGTTCATAGCAACATATGGGCTATAGTCAATAACTGTACACCAGCAAGATGGATCTACAGTACTGTGTAACGGTCAGAGACCATCCGTCATTTTTTTTTAGTTTCCAGTCAAAACAGCCAATAAGTACAATTTTTACATTTTTCAGTCTCAGGAAAAAAGCAGAAAGTATATATTTAGCAGAAACAGAAGCTTTAACAACTTCATTTAATTTATTCAGTATTTAGTGTGTCCACCCTTGGCCTTTATTCCGTTCATGTCAGCAAACTTGTTTTCAATTTTTCAAGAAATCTGCAGGGATATTTTTACACGCCTCCAAAGTTCAGTCCCAGAATTTGGTTGCATATTCTGCTTATCACGACTTTTACCCCAATTTTAGCCCTGATTCTCAGTCTGGCCGAGTCTGTGCTGGTCGGCTCTAGTCTGCAGATGTTCGAGGCAGTCGGAGTCGACAGTTGGAGAGAATTGAGTCGTGTGGGGGGGTGCAGACCCAGATTTTTTGCCTCCTGATCGCATTTCAGACCAGTCGGAGTTTATCAAACGTTTCAAACTGGTCAACGACTTAATCTGAACAGATTCCTGCAACAGCCAATGAAAACCGAGAGCACGAAAGAAGAAAATACAGCAAGTAAACAAAAAAAATGGGGAAAAGTCTCTCACATGTAGAACGAAGCATTTTAATGAGCTGAGTTTAAGGCACGAGCACAATTAAGTTTATGGATGTTTAAAACTTTAACAAATACCAGCTGATCACATTTTAAAATCCATGATCCACTTAAACGTGTTTACCTGCTGATTCTTTACTGCGCTAGGGCAAACGGCAGAGAAAACAGCAGCAGCAGCTCCACATTTGTTTGAGTCTCCTCATAACGGGAGAACACGTGAGTTCAGTGAGCTCCATTCGGTTCAGCAGGAGCTAAAAAGTTGAGTGTGATTCCTAATATTTCAGTTGCCCAAAAAAATCTGAGACTCCCAGTCTTTTATAATCTGCTCAGACTTAAAAAGTCATGTAGTGAACCCAAGGCTTAATTCAAACACATTCAGTGATGTTGAGGTCTGGACTCTGGGGTGGTCAGTCCATTGTTCTGAGAACACCAGCAGCTTCTTTGTTTGATTTGTAAATTTTATTTTCTAAGAAACAGCTACTTGACAGCTCCACATCCTTTCAAATGCGTAGTGTTGAGTTGTCCTTTCACAGTAGAAGGATGGAAACAAGAGTGGAGCTTGATTTGGAGTTGTTACGAGTTTCTTTCTATCTTTTAATGATTCTTTGAACTTTTTTTACTTCTTTTTTTCTTGATCTCGTACATAATCTCTTCCGAAATATCTCTAGAAAAATGAATGACACAGTGGCCTTTTTTACTGGAAATTAACTAAACGAAGGGTAGCGTTTCTAATAAACTGGCCAGTGAGTGTATGCTCACTTTCACTGAGCTCCATGCACGTTTTCAGTTGCTTTTAAATGTACGCCTACACACAATTAAGCCTGGATAAATAAGTTGAAATATATACATAATCCTTGCTTAGATAAGCCACCATGGCTCTGTAGTCTTTTAATGGGATAGCAATAGAGAGTAAATGGGTCAAATGAATTTGTTTCCATAGATAAACTAGCGCTGAAGTCTGTAATTACTGGAGGAAGCACTTAGCGCTAGAGAGAGGCAAAGAGAGGGGAGTGGGGGTGGGTAATTAGATTGGTTTGGCGTTTGTTTGTTCGTTTATTGGTTTGTTTGTGGTCGTGTGCTGGCGCTTTGCCCGGCACTCATGCTGCCGCGGTGGCTGAGGGCGCTCAGTCGGGTTCTGCGCTCGGCCCGTTTAACTGTGTTCCTCATGCTCTGTCCAGTTTTAATTAGAAGGTGCATGTCTCGTTAACATTTCAACATTCAATTAAGGAAGCACTGGAGCACGCGTAAAAATCCTCTTCCGCTCGCTCGCCCGCGCTCCCTCGCTCGCTCTCCCTCCATGCTAACCGCCTCCTTTTCTCCTCTCGCTCAATTATTTTGCTTTCACTTTAATGTCTCCGTACCTACATTTGCACACACACTCGCGCACACACACGTCCCCCTCCCTCTGCCCTGTATAATGTGTAGATAAACCTTGCCAATGGTAAAGTGTGCTTAATGAGGCCCATTTTTCAGTGTAAGGTCCAATAAGCCGCAGTGCAAACGAATGCATCTCACCAATGCTAATCCCATATTAAACCCTCCGTGCATCTACCGCACGTAATGGCCATCATTATCACTATAAATCTGCTCTCAGAGTCCATGGGCTGCTTCAGATAAGGTTACGCTGTGTAGGTGTGTGTGTCCGTGTGTGGCTTCGTGTATCCAGGGGTTCAGCAGGCCCCTGTATCTGTTACCATTTGGACGTTCTCAGCTCTGCGGCATGTCTTATTTTAAGTTGTGATGAGATTGACTGACATGTGCTATGTCCCTCCCCTTTCACAGAGAGTTCCAGACCGGAGAAGAGAGAGAACAAATGCCCCACCCCTGGCTGTGACGGCACGGGTCACGTGACCGGGCTGTACCCTCACCACCGCAGTTTGTCAGGCTGCCCTCACAAAGACAGGATCCCACCAGAGAGTGAGTCAGCATGACACGGATACCTGAGGAGCAAAATGACCAAGCACACCTAAAAGATCTTCTTTCATCGCTGTAATGCTAAGAATATGAATATAATATTTTGCTCACGCTTTATTTTGAAGGACCCCCCCACAGCTTTTCTACAAATACGTTAGGGTTAAGGGAGACCAGACTTAGGGAAAAGTTAAGTGACCCTTATTAGTCCCACAACGGGGAAATTTTACCTCCACGTTTAACCCGTCCGTGCAGTGAAACACCACATACACACTAGTGAATGCACACACACTAGGGGGCAGTGAGCATACTTGCCCAGAGTGGTGGGCAGCCCTATCCACAGTGCCCAGGGAGCAGTTGGGGGTTAAGTGCCTTGCTCAAGGGCACATCAGTCATGTACTGTTGGCTCAGGGGAATGAACCAGCGACCTTCCGGTCACAAGGCTGGGTCCCTAACCTCCAGCCCATGACTGCCCCAAAGGTGTCATTTGTTTCTGCCCAGGTTTTGAACCTTGGAATAGGTATCTGCCTCAGACACTCCACCCACATGTAAATGGAGCGGCTGATATGCTAAGCTTGGCACAACTACTAGAATTTTGTCAGGTCCTTTCTGATTGGCTACCTGCATGTCCCTGCAGCAGTCCGACAGGATGCAAACTTTTGGGCTGCGTCTATAATCTTTTGCTACTGCTTCTGTCCCCCATTCCTTCCTTCCGCTCCTCTCCTACCCTAGAAGAACGCGGAGGAATCAAGGAGAGCAAAAATTGAGCCTTTAAATCTGAGGTCGACTATCAATGAGCTGAGCCTGTCACAACGTTCGCTTAAAAACCTACCCCAATACTACTGCATTCAATCATAGAGACAGACGTTTTTTTTATTTTATTTTACACCAAGTACAAATACACAACAAAACACAGAATTGGAAGTATAGTTGGATTGCCTCATGTTTGTCCATCCTCAGTGATTTCTCTTTAAAATCTAAAGACTTCCTGGGTAGCATACACTTGTGTGTCATCCTCTGAAAGCCTCTTTGGCTTCTCCCATCTCCTCCAATATTTTGACAGCCGATAAGAAGGCTTCACAAAATCAGTTTCCGGGTCACTGAGAAGAGGAAGAGGATCAGTAAGATAAAGCAGTAACTTTCAGGGTTTCTGGACACAGCCGCAGTCACCAGATTGAACAAGGATTTAGTAGCTTTTAAATTAGATATCGTCTAAGGTTTGCCGTGGTGCGTCCTGCAGGTTTGTTTTTCTTGTAGCCCTTTTTTGAAAATCGCCTGCCCCTTCGCTCTACAACAGTCTGTGGTTGGTTATTTTGCATGTCAGTCAAACAACCCTTTCCTACTGTATCAGGCAGTTCCTGTCACAATTAAGGATGCAATGCACCAGTCTGGTTTACGAGACTAGGGAAAAGGTAAACTTAAAGTAAAAATTAGGAAATTGGGAAAACCTCCCTTCTGATGATGTATCTTGAAGGTGGGAGGAACTTTTGAAAAAAGCATTTTGAGAATTCAGATGCTTGAGAATTTTTTTTCCACTTGCTGAAAAAAGCTGAATATCATGTCTGCGTTTATTAGCCTCTATACCTTAGTGGTTAAGTTAGCAGTCAGAATGTCTTTATTGCAATAGAGAGATTCTCAACAGATGCATGCTGTATATGCATAATGCGTGCTGGGTATTGTAGTGGGACCACACTAGTGAACAAAAGCAAACAAAATTGTGAATTCTATAAAATCAGTGAGGCTGAGACGTCCAATGCTGTGTTACAAAATATTACATAATGTGACAAATAACATATACTGGTTTTAGATTGGAGTGCTCTTTTAGTAGATCTTCACTTCTTGCTTGAAGGCACAGTAGGAACCTACAGTGTGTCTGTGGTGCACTACCCAATAACGTTACTTTTTATATGTATAAAGTTTATATGTATGAAGTTTCTCTTCTTAATGCTAATTATTAACCCACTGGTCCTATCTGCATGATTCCTTGTCCATGCAGTCCTGGCCATGCATGAGAATGTTCTGAAGTGCCCCACTCCCGGCTGCACAGGACAGGGCCACGTCAACAGCAACCGCAACACACACCGCAGGTACCATATATGCTTATCATTCATTCATACACACACATTCGGGTTCTTGGATCGTGTTCTCACTGAGACTTCTTGCGCTTACAGTTTGTCAGGATGTCCAATTGCCGCCGCCGAGAAGCTGTCCAAGAGCCACGACAAGCAGCACCTAAGCCAGCCCATGAGCGAGCAGCCCAAAGGCAGCCCCAACTCCGACAGAGTGCTCAGGTCAGTTGTACCAGTCAAGCTTTTCCACCCTTCTGTCAGTGAAGAAACTGTTTTGCCGCAGTGCCGCTAACAGAGTCTGCGTAGTCAACTTTGTATAAAATATAAAGCATAAAAAGTACAGAGAAACTGTATTTAAGTGAAAGTATGGGTACTATGTTGAAAACCTGGTAAAACAGAAGTAAAACTAAAAATGTTTACATTTACATTTTAACAAAACTTCAAATTTCATGATGGACCAATAGAAATGGTCCAAAATTACTTGTAATTCTTGTTACATTCTATTATAAGTGAAAAATGTTCTATCCCTCTCCTGTAAAGTTAGCATTTTGGAACAAGAACAAGTTTCTGTTCAGACAGTAATCAAATATTTAACGTATAAAATTAAAAGTATTTGATTTTTTTTTGATTTTTTTGGTGGTGTGTCATATCTCAAAAGTCTCTTTGCCTTTGAGACTTGTTATGCGTAGAAGTATTCCATTTGAAAGATACTCAAGTGGACTACAGATCTTCTAAAATAATATTTAAGGGCATTAACAAACATGATTACAAAAAACATAAGTATTTTCCAGTGGCAGTTACAATGCAGATTTTTGTCTCTTTATCTTCTATGTAGAAAACACTTACATTGCTAACATAACTGATAATGAAGGAGCCTAGAGGTTAAACTCATCCCGTTGCAGGTGTCAAAGACTATACAGGTTTTTTAATACTGTACACCTCACATCTGTTCCATAGCTTAGCCTACGTAGTCCACACTTTTTGTGCAGGCCTGACAAGCTGAGCATGGCAGAAATCAGGAGACTAGCATCTACGCCAGTGGACACGAACCATCCTCCTGGAGATTTGCTATCCTGCAGAGCTTAGTTCCAACCTGTATCTAACGTGCTGAAATCCACCAAAAGCAGGGGGTAGGCCCCCTTGCCCCCAAATCCCTCTAGGGTGTGCCGGTTTAACGTCTGGAGTCTAATCAGCGAAAAAGCAAAACAAGCTAGCAAGCGAAACGTTATTTCTGTTTTTCCTGTATTTCTTGTTTTTCCCGTATTTCTGTTCTTCCACTGCAAGAGGCAGTGTTTATTTTTACTTAACGTTCTGCTGCGTTCCGCTGGTGGAACGTAGTCTGCAAAAAATTTGCATCTGTGACAAGTTCTGCAAAGCGGAGAAGGATATTTATGGAAACTAAAGAAACTAGCACTTATTGCGCTTCTTTTTGGAGGAGAAAGACGAGGAGAAACCGTCCACCAGGTTTAATTCTTCCTACTCAGCCCAGGTAAACATTAGCAAGTGTCATGAACAGTAAAGAGACACAACATTGTATTTCTACATTAAGGTAAACTACTCGCCAAGCCACAGTGGTATAAGGGAACTCATCGTCTATGTTCAAGACTTTTTTTATTATCTTGTTTACCATCCCACACTGACAAACTACTGTATTCAAATGTGTACATCAAGTAACTGAAAGACAGATTTGTGTTGATGTAATGGGTCATTTTACAGAAATGTCCATTTTTCTGTCCCTAGCATTTACAGATATATTACACTTAAAAAACGTGTCAGGGTTACAATTTATTTATATTTTAAAATAAAGCAATAAGTTATTTTAATAATTACACCTTCTTGAGCTTCAATTTAGCAATACTGGTTTTTAAATCAATTATCTAGAATTCCAAGCAACACAGAAGAGCTCGTTCCCACAGTCATGTGTGAAGGCTGAGGCCATATTTTGAAGAAAAAAACACATTTTTCTGCAATTTTAACTACAATAATCTATAAATGACTATGGAATATATGATTTAAATGACATATAGAAAACAAATGCCAAATAAATATTATAAAATATAGAATGAAAGTTGTGGTCCCCAGGAGTCGTGTCACTGGTGTTACTACGTAACAAAAAATCTCTTATTTTGAAATAAAAATCATGCTGATGACACCACTTCACCTCCTTTTACCTTTTTTCTGAGGATCTATGAAGAAAAGCACATGGTGAGTCCACTGTGTCTTTCAGTTATCAGAGATTTTCTCATTTAGCTCATGATTTCATATGAAGCTTTTAGCTGAAGTCACTGGTGTGACCGACTTTATTCTGAGGTCATTGAGGAAAAAATAGAATATAAATGGATTAAAGTACATATTTTAGTGGATATTCCATGACTGACATGTGGTTTGATGTTCTGTAGCAGCCACTTTGTAAAATGCATTTTTATTAAAATGTCTCTGGTGTTCCCTTTCTTATGTGTAACACCAATGAGGATCAGTAACACCAGTGACTCCTATGGATAGACAGAAAAGTGGACGTTTCTGTAGAGTGACCCTAATATGTTTTATTCATGTGGAGTAATATACACATTTGGATCAAGTGCACGCAGTGCGATGTTTTTTCAGTGCAGGGCACTGTTACCACGGTAACTCTGTTATCTGACACCAGGCAGAGGCCTACCTCAGTCATGTCATTAGCTAATTATCAACCAGGTGTGTTAGCTCACAGCTGTGCGGTGCAGCAGTGGGGGGGCTTCAGGAGCAAAGTTGGAACAAACTGGTCCTTAAAAAAGCAAAAATAACACAAAGTTCTGCAAATAAATGGAGCGTAATTCACACAAACGTCAGCATTTACCTCGCCCAGTCGGCCTTGTTTCCTCCCTGCTCTCTGACCGCTTCCCCAAGTCAGCAGCACATCGATCAAACGCGCTTGCCACAGTTGGTTAACCCAGCCGTCAATCAAAGGACAGAACCCACTTACCGCAGCGTGATTGGTCAGGCCTTTCTGAAGCACTAACCCCCTTCTTGCCCTTCCTAATAGAGAACAGCCTAGCATATCACAGCAAGTTCACATGCCAGCCCTGCGACTCTAATTATGCCGCAGATAAGCTAATTAATGGACTTAGGGGGCACAGAGTATAAGAAAAATAATTACTTTCCTCCAGGAAGCGCGTCTACATGTCAGACGAGGCGATGCGGATTGCGGCGCACAATAAACGCTGGCTTCTCTTATTGGTATTATTATGATTCAAATGAGCGTCAGTGTGGCGCGAGAGCCCATTAGGGGAAGACAGGGAGGTCACCGGAGAAACCTCTGAGTGTTCTGCATGCCACCCTGCTCTAATGGGAGCGCACCGGCTTAATGAAGGGACACGGAACAGAAGGAGTCTGTGTGTTTCTGTGGATAAAGACTGCCTTCTTCCGCCATTCTGTGTTCTGAGCTTTGTAAATCTGTCGAAATGGTTCAACACAAGTTACATCAGTCACAAAGCAAGAGCGCACTCACACACACCGGCGCACACATACCTACACACACACACTCGCTGGCTCTTTGTTATGCTGCTAAAAGTGCAGTGTTATTTTGCCGCCTGTGGTCCACTCATAACCTTGGCACACGATATTTGATGTTTTACCTTACGATTTTTTTTTTTACGTGATCGTTTCACATGTGATGCCTGCAACACATTCTAAAAAAGTTGGGAGAGCAGGAGCTTGTTTACCACTGTGTTACATCACCTTTCCTTTTAACAGCACTTCAGAATCGTTTGCGGAAGGAAGACAGTTTTGAAAGCAGGATTTTTTTAGGGACTGATCTGTTATACAGCCGCACAAGCATAAGGGACCCTCGTTATTGTGTTTTCTGCTTCGTAACAGGCAGTGGTGGACGAAGTACACAAATCATATACTTAGAGATACCCAAGGTAAAATATTAATCCAGTAAAAGTAGAAGTTCCTCCCTTTAGACCTCCACTTGAGTAAAGGTACAAAAGTATTTGCCTTCAAATGTACTTAAGTATTGAAAGTAAAAGTACTAAAAGATTAATTAACTTAATGCAACTTAGTTACAAGTTTAAGTTAAAAACTTTAAACACGGGTTCACAAATGAGTTTTCCTTTACTAAACTGCATCTGTAGGTCTCTGTTCATAAACATAAACTAGCCAAAACAAATTTACTATAAAATGAAATAGTGTTTGTATAAATTCAGAAAAAAGACACGTCAGTCACAACTGCATATGTGTACATATTTCTATATTGTGGTCTGTTTACACAAAGTTAGGTTAGTTCATCATTTATGTTGAATAGACTCTCCCAAAATTTTACGCTGCTGAACTGGTGTTGAACCGTATGCTTGCACTGGGTCGGTATGTCCAACAGGTCAAAACAAGCTCAAAACAAAGTGCGCTGTGCCCTGATTGGTGTTTTTGCTTTGTGCTTCATTCATTTTGACCTGTTACGTTTTTATGCACACATAAACCAAAAGGAACAACAGATTTTGCATAATGTGGTGGAGTAAAAAGTGAGATATTAGACTTTGAAATGTAGTGGAGTGAAAGTAAAAAGTCACCCAGAATGGAAATACTTCAGTAAAGTACAGATACACAAAAACTACTTAAGTACAGTAACGAATTACATTTACTTCATTACTGTCCACCACTGATAACATCCCACACATTTTCAAGGATAGGAGACAGGCCTGGACTGCAGGCTGAGTCAATGGTGCCTTTGCAAATGTACAGGTTACCCATGCCATAGGAACTAATGAACCCCAGTGCCATGACAGACTCTGGCTTTTGAACTTTACACTGGTAACAGTCCAGGAGGAAACCAGACATTTCAAACAGGGGGGCTTTCAGGCCAAAATACTGTGGAGATTAGCATTTACCCTCCTGTAATGCTCTGAATTCAGTTCATGAAGGCCTTGCTAATTAGCTGATGAGCTGAATCAGGTGTGCTTAATGAGGCAGTGTGCAGTGTTTTGGCCCACGAGGACTGGAGCCTGACACATGTACCATGAAAAGGCTGCAAGGTTGACTCGTCAGACCACCGTTCCTGTTTCCACTGTGCATCAGTCTGTTTCAGATGAGCTTGAGCTCAGATAAGTTGGTGCCTCTGAGTTTTAGAAGAAGCCACATAGTGATAAGGTGAAAAATTGCTCTGTTTTTATTTAAATTCAGCCCAGAGTGGATTGACAAATCACTTCTTTCTGTTTTTACATGCATTTCACCTACTGTTGCAACTTTTTTGGAATTGATGTTTGTAATATTCTTGTTTTGATCCAAGTGGAGTGATTTTTGCCCACCTTAAAAACACTGGGCCTCATTCACCAACCATTCTTAAGAAGAAATTTCTTCTTAAAACCCACTTGGGCAGTTTTTAAGAAGATTCTGACGTTCACCAATATTTTCTTATTTGGGACTGGTTCTTAGGTAAGAACAGAAGCTACACACAATCAAGAGCACAAAGGAGGGAACAGTTCTGTGGTTTAAGAACACGTCATGAGTCTGACGTAGACTTTTTCTTAGAACCTTTCTCAAGAACACGTTTGAGCAAAAACTTAGGACGACGTTGGTGAATGAGGCCCATTATGTTTAGAACAAAGCACTCAGCTAGTTTCGTTATATCACGTTTCATTCGGAAATGCGTCCCTTTGCTCAATAAAAATGTGTTATAATTTCCATTTTACGTTAACTTTTACAATGAAATATGTAAATTACCTCTTTTCTGATTGGCTGTCATGTATTGGGCCTCATTTGGACTAAAATGCAGAACAAACTGTTAAAATATGTCAGAACTAATAAACTTCAGCCACTTCTTTTGATGCGAAGACACGTTATACACCACATCTTCCATTCAGTGTGAATATGCAGATCTGCTCATGGTTGTGACATCACAGCAACACAGCCCTCATGAATTCAAAATGAGGGTTTTTTTGTAGCTTATTTTCTGTGTATGGACTAAATGAACTGGGGGGAGGGTGGATGGTACATTTTGAACCTAACAAATTTAAAATGCTTCTTCAAACTCTTTTAAAGGGAAAAAGGAAGGAAGTTTTATTATTCTGTAATATGGCTACTTTGAGGGTTTTTTTTTTTCCTGTGGCCTCTAAAAGGTCTGTAAAGTGGAGCTGATGGATCTGTGGGTGTAGCAGTGGCAGGCCGGTCAGGACTCGCTGCTCTCCAGGAAAAAGAAGCTGGTTTTAAAGCTCATGAATTCCATGCTCTACAATATGCAAATGTGCCCCGTGCTGATAAGACACCATTTAATCCTGCTCCTCTTCTCTCAAGAGTGCATTTCTCTGCTCTCTCTCTCTCTGTCTCTCTCTTTCTCTGTCTCTCTCTCTCTCTCTCTCCCTCTATTCCCTTTTACTTTCTCTGTGCATTCTTTGAGTCTGTTCCTCCTTCAGGAGCTTGTATCAGTCTCTGCTTTGTCTATGTCTTTCTCCTTTGCTTTCTGTCTCCCTGCCTGAATTCTGCCCGGTTGCCAGATATTTCACACTCAATTACAGTATGTCTGGCTCTTGTTCGCCCTCTTTTTCCCCCCAGTTTTAAGAGACTCACTCGTAAAAAAAGAAATAACTTTATATAAAGAACTTTATAGACAGTTGTGAGGAAAGAGTTGTGAATTCACTGGAATTATCTGGATTTCTACACGAATGGCTCCTAAAATTACAGGACCTGACCTTCTAAGCCATAATAATAATAAATCAAGTCAGTCTTATTTAACAAAGACACAAAGCAACATTTTACAGTGTGATATGTTTATTTGAAATACTGATTTAAACAGCGGAATCTATCATTTTTGGCAGTAACCTCAGTCAAATGCTTTCTGTAGCTGTCAGCGATTTTTGTCCCATGTGCAAATCTGATACAGTCAGCGTGTTTTGCTTGAACACCGTGCATCAGATCACACAATAGCATTTCAGAGGGACTAAGGTCAAGACTCTGACACATCAGCTCCAAAGTCTGAAATATCTTCTTTGTTGATTGACTCCTGTGGTTTGTATCACGCTTTTTGCGTTTTACATCCCAGATAAAATCTGTTGAAGAAGTACCAGATACATCTTAGAGTTCTTTAGTGTCGTTTGTTTGAGGACTGTAAAGTGTGGTCTTGCACCAGTGGAGTGCACTCACTCCTAGAGAGAGCAGCAGAGGTGCTGAATTTCTTCCATCTTGGCTGTGGACTAATGGAGAAATCCTTTTACAACACTTTACTTAATGTGACATTCAGCAGCCTCTGTATCTTCAGATCAGCCTGTATTACACACACTGAATTCTGCTAGGAAGAGCAAATGAGCAAAACTGAAACAAAAAAAAAATTTAGAGATTATTATGCTCAAGCTATTTTTTCTCAGAATGACCTTGATTTTTTTCAGTAGGATTATGGCACTGCAAAATGTTGTAGATGTTGCTTTTTAAATAACACTGTCTTTCACACAGAAACTCAAATAATTCCAAATGGTTCACAAACTTTTTCTCAATTAAATTGCCATTTTTCTCTTTCTCTCACTAGCAGGGTTAATGGAGTTCATATAGTAGCCATATAGTATTATTTCATTTTTACTGCCATGATCTGAACGGGCCACTGTTTATTAGCAAAATAGGCACTGAATATTTATTTAAAAATAATTCTAAATAAAAATAAATTGTTTTAGGTAGATTTTAAAACTGCCTATTTGCTTAAATTAGACACCAGGCATCTTTTCTTTTTTGTGCAAACGCCCATGGATTGTTGTTGGGGAAAGGGGGCAGAATAAACACAGCTGCAGTGCATGCTTGGAACTGTAGTGCGTCTCAGGGTGAAATGGGCTAGTAGGAATAGAAAATTAAAATAGTTTTGTGGGCCAAATAATACTGTGTTTCGGGCCTGACTTGGCCAACGGGCCTTGTGTTTGACACATGGGCCAAAGAGAAAGCCAGTTTGGACGTGGTCACGACGCAGCCTACAGAATGATGCACAACTTCAGAGGTCTACATGGATGGAACCAGGGCTTTACCTGCGAAATCCAATTGTAATTCAATCTTGCTGAGACATTTTTTTGCTTCAAAAATTTCCAAAATTGTAATTTTGCAGGAGAAGGCAAAATTTGTTTGCTTGTAATGTAAGTCACTGTAATGATTTTTTTTTTCATATAATTTCAGGCCACTTCTTTTGGTCCAGTTATCATAAAATGTTGTCACATTGTAAAGGACAGCTGTGCTAATAAATGAATGCTTCGATTTTTTCTAGGTATCATTAAATAAATGTACGGTATATCATTCATACTGATTAGGTTAAAACTGGACAGATCCAGGTTTGGGGATCATAGGTTGTTGGTTATCACTTAAAGATCAACGTCAACATCAACATTGAGCTGTGCACAGTAATCATGCAAACACCTGCCTTCACCCTGATTGGGTAGCTGCATCACGCTGGTCAGATTCAGTGCTCCTCAACTTTTTTGACGCACCACATCATGCAGCTGCATATTAAAGCGCGATCCATTGCGGTGCATTGCCTTGTCAGACCAATGTAAATGCAGCATAACAGTGCTTAATGAGTTTGAATGTTACAACCTGCATTGTTGCCAAACTGTCATATAGCCATAAAAACCTCAGAATAGATGCGAACGTTTTCTTAAACCACTTTCTAAACCAATTATCCACCATCTTTCTCTCTCTCTTTTTCCACAGACCTATGTGTTTTGTGAAGCAGCTGGAGGTGCCGCAGTTTGGCAGCTACAGGGCCAGTCTGGTGCCCAGCACCCCACGTGCTAACCTGGCTAAGGAGCTGGAGAAGTACTCCAAGGTCTCCTTCGATTATGCAAGCTTCGACGTGCAGGTGTTCGGCAAGCGCATGCTCGCCCCAAAGATGCACACCAGCGAAACCTCACCCAAAGCCTTCAAATGTAAGCGAAATCAGGCACAGGTCCCAACAAACCTCTCAAGGGACAGATTACCAGGCGGATGATGTGGGTAGGAATACTAATAATCAGCTTTGATTAATTAATAATCCCCTGTGTCTCCGCAGCCAAACCTCCATTCCCTAGAACGGCTCCCCCAAGTCCCAGCATGCAGAGCCCCTATGGGAAAAGCTCGTCCAGCGTCCATGACTACTCCCATGATGCCGAGGCTGCACACATGGCTGCCACGGCCATTCTCAACCTGTCCACTCGCTGCTGGGAGAGACCAGAGAACCTTAGCACCAAACACCAGGACAAGGTATGAACCGCACACACACACAATGCTCAGTAGGAGTTCAAATCTCTGACCTCACAACAATTCTAGTTGATTTGTTAGACAATGTGTGCTTCAACAATTCAATTATGAAATCTTAAATTAATCTGAATTTGATTATTTAGGTACAATTTGGGAAAAAAATGCAGACAGACCGCTTCCAGTTTGTCAGTATAAATGAGGAGTTTGTTTTCTGATCATAGAGGAGTGCAGTATGGTGTACTGCAAGGCTCTGTTTTAGGGCTCCTACTGTTCTCCCTTTATTTACAACCCCTAGGATACATAATCCGTAAACACAATGTTGCCTTTCACTTTAATGCTGATGATATTCAGTCATATGCGTCAGCTCAGTCAGATGCAGTGACACAGTTAAACATAATGGAAGATTGTGTTAAAGACATGAAAGTCTGGATGATTAGGAACTTCCTTCTGCTAACTCTGATAAAGCAGAAGTGTTGCCGTTGGGTCTTAAGGCAGCTTGAGATAAGGCTGCATAATTTATCCTTGACCTTAATCATTTTTCAGTGCACAAAGCTACTCTTGAAGTCATTGGTGTAACACTGGTTGCTAGTATATCATTTGAGTTCCATGTCAGTAATATTTCTATTTATCTCTTGCCAAACTTATCCATTACAAGACATGTGCTATCCCTACAAGACACTTAAAAGGTTCAGTCTTTTAAAATTACTAGATTAGGCTTTTGTAATGTGTCACTGGCTGGCTGCCTCGCTGTATCTCTAAATAGACTCCAGTTACTTCAGAATGTAGCAGTCCATGTTTACACTGGCTTCTGATCAAGCTCTGCATTGACTACAAGGTCTTGCTTATCACACTTAAAGCTCCAAATGGCCAAGCTCTGGCATATCCTGCTGAAAACTCCTACGAGCATTACAGCTCAGTTGGTGAAATCTCATTTTAGTAAAATTAGGAGTAGCATTTTAGAGAATATTTCAAGCTCAATTTTTAAAGTATAGATTAAAATCACATTTGGCTCATCCAGTAGTTGCTCTCTTACTCCTGAAATGTTATTTCGGCCAACAAATAAACGAGTATGTTAAAAAAAAAATAAAAATATATAGTATTAACCCTTGTGTGGTGTTGATGTGTTTTAGTGGTTTTAAATCAATACAGCCATAACAATTTATGTAAAAATACCAGATGTTTAAAATATCACAAGTGTCCAGCGTAGGGTTCTCCTTTAGCAGCTGTAGCAAGTCAGCAGCCTGTCCATGGTGTCCACCCGCACAGACATACACACACACACATATACAAACACATACATACACAGACACACACATACTAACAGCAGGCCATGTAGGAGGAGAACAGAGTGAAGGACACAGCACCTCCACACTTTTACTCCCCGCAGGTTCACCCAACACCACATGTGTAATATAAATGTTAGGGGGTGAACAGAGTGAAGACACTGAAAATGGGTTATTTTATATGTTCTCCACAGAAAATGAGCAAAGGACAAGAAATCTGTTGTTGAAATAATAATAAATAATATTTTTTTTCAGTTGGTAAGCATTGAAAACAGATCCCACAGACCCCAACACCACTCAAGGGTTAAAGTAGATTTTAATAGATTTTAATTTTCTAAAATCAATGCAGTTGAACCTTCAGATGCATCTTTATACTCCTACTACCCAATGAAATGAATAACAATGAGCTTCGTAACAGCAATACAGTGAATTACACAGTAGAGAAACACAGAAAGTAACATAAATAGACCAAAAAGTGAGCACATACTTTATTGAATATTAATCACTTAATCATTGTAATCTATTCTAACTTTCCAAAGTTCCAGTGCAGTTGAATGCGCGACCTTGAGAGCAACGCATCACAGTGCAGCAAATAAGCAAAGAAAGCTCTAGTGCTGGCACATTTCCACATAGAACAATGCAGTACATTCTGTAATACATTCTGTCATGACCATACTCACGTCCAGCTAATGCTGACATCAGTCACTGAGTGGGACTAAAATTGAGCTGTTCAAACACAGCATCCCTACGGAGCAGCAGGGGGAAAGGTGTGCGAGTGCATGTCTGTGTGAAAGGAGGGGATTCGATATCAGGCCACTATAAATTTATCATGAGCTGGAGTGGTGCGCTCCACGAGACTGGCTGCTGTTGAGGCCTCGTTGCGTCACCTCTCCTCCACTCCTTTCATCTGTCCCTCTTTCTCTTCACTCTCTCCATCCTCCTAATGCTATTATTGCATTAGGCTTTCCCTGGATTACCCAGGACCAGGTGTGCTGCGCTCTTTTATTCATTATTTCCACTAGTCTAATGGGAGGATGAATGCGGGTCATTGCTTTTTGTGTAGTGGAAATGACAAAACTCTTTCTCTCTCTCTCTCTCTCTCTTTCTCTCTCACTCTTTGCTTTTTTTCCTTCATCCTCTTTCCATCTGCCCCCCTCCCTCTCACCCATCCCACCCAACCATATTCACACTGGGAGTTTATGCTGTAATTGTACAAGCTCTCTCCCTGATATTGTGACTTTTTTCCTTCGTTTTGTAAAAAGGCTTTTTTCCCTCTCAGCAGAGAGGAGTGACTACTTCATCATTTTTTTCGATTTGTTGCCATGTTTTTAGCGGAGGGGGATAAAAGGGGAAGATTAATGGGCTGAGAGGCCTGGTGGCTCGCACTAATCAGAGCACGGCCGCTCTGGGATCAGCCGCCTGCCACATGGGGGCCTCTGCTGCTGCTTAACACACTCAGCACTCTACACACACAGTCAGTCTTTACCTCACAGCTTAGAACACAGAGCGTGAGGTGTGTTAGGATGTAATTACTCTACCGTTCAAAAGTTTGGAATCACTCACATAGTAATAATACAATATACAGTATGAATCAAATGTCAGAGACCACCTTTCATTTCTTTAATCTTTAAGTACAAGATATTTCTAATGAGGTTAAATACAACCCCATTTCCAAAAAAGTTGGGACGCTGTGCAAAATGTAAATAAAAACAAAATTCAATGATGTGTAAATCATTTAAACCCTGTATCTCATTGAAGACAGTACAAAGACAACAAATCAAATGTTGAAACTGAGAAATTTTATTGTGTTTTGAAAAATATATGCCCATTTTGAATTTGATGCCAACAACATGTTGCAAAATAGTTGGGATGGGACACGTTTACCACTGTGTGTCATCACCTCTTCTTTTAACAACACTCTGTAAGGGTTTGGGAACTGAGAAGACGCTGCTGTAGTTTTGAAAGTGAAATGTTTTCCCATTTTTGCTTAACATAGGATTTTAGTTGCTCAACACTTCGGGGGCTCATTTGTAATATTTTTCATTTTATAATGTGCCAAATATTTTCAGTGGTGACAGGTCTGGACTGCAGACAGGCCAATTTAGTGCCCAGACCCTTTTAATATGGAGCAATGCTGTTGAAATACATGCAGAATGTGGTTTTATATCATCTTGCTGAAATAATCAAGGCCTTCCCTGAAAAAGATGTTGTCTGGATGGCAGCATATGTTGCCAAAACATGTATATATCATTCAGCATTAATGGTGCCTTCACAGATGTGCACGTCACCCATGCCATGTGCACTAATGCACCCCTATACCATCATGAATACTGGCTTTTGAACTGTGCACTGATAACAAGCTGAGTGGTCTTTAGCCTGGAGGACACATTGTCCATGATTTCCAAAAAGAATTTCAAATGTTGATTTGTTTGACCACAGGACACCATTTTAAATGAGCTCAGGCCCAGAGAAGGTGGCAGCATTTCTGGATCCTGTTTATATATGATTTCTTCTTTACGTTTAAGAGTTTTAATTAGCATTTGTGGATGCAGCGCCAAACTGTTTTCATAGACAGTAGTTTTTCAGAAGTTCTTCTGAGCCCATGCAGTGATTTCCATTACAGAATCATGACTGTTTTTAAAGCAGTGCCACCTGAAAGATCACGGCCAGCAAATACTGGTTTTTGTCCTTGTCCCTTACATACAGAGTTTTCTCCAGATTCTCTGAATCTTTTATTGCTATTATCTACAGTAGATGATGGAAAGCAAAAGTTCTTTGCTATTTTATGTGAGAAACATTTTGTTTTGAATTGTTGCACTATTTTCTAGTGCAGTCTTTCACAGAATGGTGAACCCCTCCTCTTCTTTACTTCTGAAAGACTCCGCCTCTCTGAGATGCTCTTTTATTCTCAATCATGTTACTGACCTGTTGCCAATTAACCACCAGGTGTTTTTTAAGCATTACACAACTTTACCAGCCTTTTGTTGCCCCGTCCCAACTTTTTTGGAACGAGTTGCTGGCATTAAATTCAAAAATTCAAATATTTTTCCAAAAATAATACAATTTCTCAGTTTCAACATTTGATCTGTTATCTTTGAAGCATTTTCAATGAAATAAAGGGTTTAAATGATTTGCACATCATTGCATTTTGTTTTTATTTACATTTTGTACAGCGTCCCAACTTTTTTGGAAATGGGGTTGTATAAGACTTGCATAAGAAAAAGGAAAGTCAGTTGAAAATAAGTGACAGAACAGGAGTTTCCAAAACTGGAGTTCAAAAAATGATTACAAGATATACAAAAAACAGCTCCTAATACTCAATACAAGATCTGGTAGACCATCAAAACTGTCCCTGTCAGATAAACAACACTTAATGCGAGGAAATTGGGTCCACTCCTGGTTCAGATTTGAAAAACATCCACAGATGTTTCTGTCCATGCCTCATTGATTGTGTTTGGAATTACTTGGATCATGAGAATCTTGAAAAGCATGGGAGCTGTAATAAAGAGTGGAAACACCCAACACTGAAAAACATGATGTTATATTTAGACGTTGAGGCTTCTGTGCAATTTTCTGTTAAATATGTTTTTTGCTTTCATTCATGATTCTGAAAAATGAATAACCTGTCTCTGATGGCCATTTCAACTGGAAATTAAATGAAGGTTGGACACTGACGTTTGTATAGTGCTGTAGATCCATCCGACTTATCTAAATTAACGTAGCAAGGTTTTATTCCAAGTTATGTTCACATAGTATAAAGCAGCTGATGTTTTCAAATGGTGTAAATGAATAAAAACAACAAAGTTGAATGAAAAGGTTTTGATATATGTGATTTGATCACTGCTTTTCAAATACAAGGATTTGTGATATTAATTTGATTGATGAACTTTAGTACTGTCATAATCTCTCCTTCTTCTAGAACATGGATATAGAGGTGGACGAGAACGGTACTCTGGATTTGAGTATGAAGAAGCCCATAAAGAGAGAGGGAGGCCTGCTGAGCACGAGCCCGGGGGTCCGCTCCCCTGACCTCTCTTCATCATCCTCGTCCTCCCTGCACCATGGCAGCAGTGGCATTTCACCCCACTTACAGGTCTACAAGCAGGAGGAGTGGGAGGGGCCTCTGGACTACACCAAACCCAATCGGCAGAGGGAGGAGGAACTAGAGGAGGTGAGACTTCTGGCTCGTTTTTGGATCCAAAAGGTGTTGAGATAGGACTGGTTGAGATACACTCTTGAAATTAAAGGTTCCTAAACAGTTTAGAGACTAGTTTAAATACGAGGAAAAGCCCCTTAGAGCAAGGCTGCCCAGGGTGTGGCCTGCAGAAAATTACCCTAACCCACTCCCTCACCTAATGAGATAAAAAATGTATTTTTATACTAGAAATGGATGGTTCTACCAAATTGGTACAAAGTCAGAGTTGAAGACACATTTCAGATTTTTAACTAACTTGGACTTTAGACTAAAATCCTTTTGCTTTAAGTGGCCCTATATGTTATATATCACTGTTGTCGGAAGAAAACCTTGTATCTCCAAAATGGTAACTTTTCAGGAGAAGGAAAAACCTACTTTACACTTAATGTAGGTCAGTGGAACCAGACTTTTTTCCAAGTCATTTTGGGCTGTTTCTTTTGGTCCATTCATCATGAAATTTACACACAATGTAAAGGACAACAGGTATTTTCACATTATGTCAAAAACTGAAAAACAACAAAAATGGAGATACAAGGTTTTCTTCTGACAGCAGTGATATGTTTAGTAAACTAAACTAAAATTTTTTTCACTACCAAAAAAACTAGACTAACAACACTTTATTAAATGTTTCAGTAATGACTGTTCGGTAGTAACAGTTTTAGCTAATTTTGAGACTAAAAACTAAACGAAAAAACTCTACCCAGTACATGACTAGCAAACACAGCTTGTGGACTAAAACTCTGTGTTTTGGTAGTGATATGAAAATATGGGACTTGTGATAAATGCAAAACTTCACTTTAAAAGAAATCAAAAATAACTTTAAAAAACCTTGAAAAAATAAAAAAGTAAGTATTATTTTTACAAGTTAAAATTGAGTGGTTAGGGTTTGGGACAGCCACCTCCCAATAGAAAGTGCCCTATAAATGATAATTTTGTATATGTTAACTTTATTACTGTCTCAGTTGATGCCTTGAGTTTAAATAGAATATAAAATAATCCTTGTAAATATGTAAGATCTGAATGCTTAGTTCTCTTTTTAATAGTTTTACTGTGGGACTGCAGTTTACACTAATTTGGTAGAGTAGTCCATATAACTTTTTCAGTTTTTTTAAAAAAAATATTTTTAAGTCTCTCAGTAATCAAATATAATGTACTCTCATAAAAAAAAAAATGTTTGTATGTCCATTTTTTTTTGTCCATTTAGCAACCATAAACAATGGGCATTGCACAAGATGTTTAACTAAAAGGACTGAAAAGACTTTTAAAGGTGAAGCATGTTTAGAGCAGCAAAGCAAATTCCAGAGTTTAATGCTAGTTCTCACTGCTAGCCTTTCTTGCTCAGTCTGTAGTAAATGGGTGAGTTTGCAGGTATCTTTTCACATATTCACCACGTTCTGTGTCTCTAGATGGATCACACAGCCCAGTCGTTCGCCTCCTCTGACCCTGAGGACTGTGACATGGGGCAGGACTGCCCAGAGGACAGGAAGTACCCTGGGGAGGTAACCACACCCAACTTCAAGGTCAAATTCCAGCCCAAGGAGTGCAAGAAAGAACTCCTCATGTGAGTGGCTTCAGCTGGTGTTTGTCTATGAATAAAATCATGGGCACAGCATTCTTTAAAGTTTAGTTGATGTGAATTAATCGGGTATTCGTCTGCACGTTGGTATGATTCCCCCTTTTTTTTAAGCGGTAGAAAACAAGAGGGAGCCACAAATAACATCACAGCTGTGATCTGTTCACAGTAGATCAACACAGCTGTGATGCTATTCACAGTAACACTTCTGATCTATTACCAGGGTTCGTACAGTCGTGAAAATCCCGGAGAGGTCATGGAATATACATGTTTGGTTTTCCAGGCCTGGAGAAGTCCTGGAAAATAATAAGTGCTGGAAAAATCATGGGATTTCCTGAATTTCCCCCCATGCAATTCGCCATCTCATCACATTTGAAGCACTGAAGAGTGTAGATCACGAAAGGCACCAAGACTGATGTATCTGCACATAGACTAGCTTCACTAACATGTTGTTAATATGAATCTCAGCTTGCTAAGGTGTAACATTCAGGACGTGTGAGCTGTGAACGATGTTTCGACATTCAAACACTATAGAAGACAAATTAACAAGACAAATGTTAGAGGAAAAAACACACCACTGCTGCTTCTTCACTGTGAGTCAAGCTACAGGGAGATTCACTCGAAAGAGGCCCTGAATATTCTGTTGTAACTCCTGTTAGGATGAATCTGAACCAACAAAATACGCTACATACCTTGGCGTATGTGTGATCGACTGCATTACACGCGACGCAGGAAATGATCTCCATTTTCTGTCAGACACATGAAGGGGTACGGGGGTACGCACCCGGAATTTGCAAGCGGAGGTTAAACGTCGCAACGGCTGTCCAGCCCCCACCTCATCGCTCTAACGCAGGGGCATCCCGGCTTGTTCAGAGCTCCATATGCTGAGGAGCACATTGCACATTGTTTCATTCAGATTGCTTCGTCCTAGAGAGAGTTATTACAGAATATTCAGGGCCTCTTTCGAGTGAATAGGTAGGTTTATACTGTACGTGCACTAGAAATGATGCAGTCGTGGCGCCTATAATCAAATTTTAATAATAAAGACGTCCCTGGTAATTTCTTAGCCATAAAATGCTATTTTAGCCTGGAAATGTTAAAATATTAATTGTTTCAATTACATTATATATTCCATTCCTCATTACAAAATTCCATTCTGCGGGCCACTAGAAGTCTCGGAAGCTCTGAAAATAATTAAATTAATTGCCATTTATCATTTAAATAATTTTAATTTTAATAATTATTTAATTATAAAAGATAAAGAAGCCCCAACATTGTTTCAAATATAGGTTTTTTAAACTGGCAATTTCTTTGGCCAAAGAAGTTCCAGCAGTTTAGAGTAAGGCAGTCATTGTTGTGACCAATGGTCAGCAGAATGATGCTGATGGTGAAAAAAATATGCTGTTATCAAATATAACAACATGGGTAGGATGCTTTTTTCATGGGTGGAAATCAGATGTGCTCAGAACCCACTGCTTTAAGCCAGGCGTACACTGTGCGATTTTAGCCCACTTTTAAGCTCGATTTGGTCGGAGCCGACTGAATATCATGATAGGGCCGAATTTTAGCTTCATCGGCTGTCGTTTGCCGTGTTGTGTGAGAGGGCAAACGATGCCCGATTAACTGCCCAAACGAGCTCTGGTTTAGCAGTCGGATGATCGGATGGATTTCTGACATATCAGAAATTTTTGTCTGAGCTTCTCACGGACCGATTTCTCAAAACCACACACAGTCACAGCCACCGCTCCTACACTGAGGCCAAAAAGTCATTTGCGGCACCAGCGTCCATATATGCTGACTTTGCTCCATCTGGAGTTGAATTGCGAGGTATAAATAAATACAGTATTTTATTGTCTTTGTAGAGCTGCCTGTTTGTAGACCGCCTGTCCTTCAGCTTCAGTGCACAGTGTGGCATCAGTTAGCAAAGCTGGTGTAGCGGTTTGTCAACGACTGAATCTGGCTTCTACACCAAAATAGTGCACTGTTTGTCCAGCGTAGAACTGCACACATAGCTGAAGCTCAGAAGGCTATTTATTAAGCATGTGATGCACTTTATTGGTGCAGGAGCTACTATTTTAATATGTGGTGCACTATGTAGGGAGCAGGGAGCCGTCTGAGATTCAGACAGTGTTTTGATCAGGACATCGGAGGCGCAGCGTGTTGTTTTGAATGAAATAGCTGTATTGTAGACAGAGCGTCTGCAGTGGCTGCGTTTCACATGCACTGTAAGCACCCATGTTGCGTCATGTCAGTCGGACCGAGTGTTTTCATACATTGTGAGCATATAAATCACAGGCTTTGTTCGTAAAATCGTACGGTGTATGCCTGACTTTATAGGGTTTTCTTGATCTTCTTTGCTTTCTTAATTTGCACATATTCTCTGCTGTAGTCTTGCATTTAGTCCTTATCTTCTATCATTACTTCTCTGTGCAGGTGTCCCACTCCTGGCTGTGACGGCAGTGGCCACATCACTGGAAACTATGCATCCCACCGCAGGTAGAGTATATTGCAGAACAGCCCATCCTCCAATAACATTGTCCTTGTAATGGTCTGCCCCTTACTGGCTGGCAGCCTGTGTTCAGGAGGGTTCCTGGACTTAATTCCCTTAACAAAATTACTTTTGTGCAACCATACAGATGTTCCTTTTGTTCGTGCTTCTTTCTTGCCTGTTCTCTACTTCTGGTACTGACGAGGGACATTCTGGGCTCTTTCTCTCTTTCCTTTCCTCCCCTGTCCCCTCTCTGTTTCTCTGCTTCTTTCTCTCAGCCTGTCTGGGTGTCCTCTTGCTGATAAGAGTCTTCGGTCCCTCATGGCAGCACACACGGCTGAACTCAAGTATGTTTTCCAACTCTGCTTCCCTTATTTCTCTGTGCTATTGTGCTATGATGCCTAATGCTATTTACAACTTTACTGTTTACTTCTGATCCCTCTTACTCCTCCCTCTCCTGTAAGAAGCTAATATATGGACAACAACATTGGGTATTAGTCTTAGCAATAGCAGGGCAGTCGACCTTAATGTTCCACCCACAAATGCCTGTCGTAGTTACTGTTGCAAGGTTGGACAAACTTCACCCACTGGGCAGCCATCTAATGAGGAACTGCAGTGTGCAACTCAGTTTCTGTCAAAAGATTTAGGCCCAATCCCATTTCACCCCTCGCCCCTACCACTGAGCCCTTAGCCCTCTGTTTTGCGTATTCACGTCTAGGGGTAGGGTGTCCCAATTTTTGTTGAGAGCGGTAGGGCGAAGTGTTAGGGCTACATGGCCCTCCAAACGGAGGTTTTTCAGAGAGTGTTATGAGAAAAAAAGAAAAACCGGCAAGATGCCTGCACAAGAGACCAAAGAAACACACAAATGTGAGAATTTTCTCCGTTAAAAATTGCGATAACCAACATATTATCTTAGTTTAATGTCATTTCAATGTATTATGGTCGTTTTCTTCATAACAAGCACAAAAAATTGCTAATAGCATGCTAATGTTTTGGTAGCTAGCTAGCTAACTTTCCCATTCCACCTTAAATAATCCAGCAGTTCTGACACCTGAAGTGCCAGAATGTAACTGCTGCTCCATTTAAGGTGGAACGGGAAAATTCGAACAAGAAGCTGGGGAATATCTGACTTCAGCTTCATATCACTGAAGAATTAGGGGTGGGTGATAATAAATAATTGCCCCCCTCTTTGAAGTCATATGATGCCCTAAATGTAACTAAAGCCCAGCAGTGAGGAGCTGAACTTTACCCTCCTCTGCTGTCACTGCAGACTGGCAGGGTCGCCTACAGAGCAGCGCTGGTAGCTGTTAATGAAGCAGTGTTTTTTTTTAATTGGGCGTCCCATTTCGTAGGGCAAGATTTCAACCACTACCCCTTGTAATTCAGTTCCAAGGGGTTAGGATGACACTCAAAAACAAGGGGTAGGGGTAAAAAGAAGAAATGGGATTGGGCCTTAGAGTGTGTTGTTCATTTGACATGATTTGTATTTTGTATACATGTTACAAATTATGTTGTGTCATTTGATCTAGCCTTATAGCTACAAGAAGGGGTGTCAAACTCAACCTTAATATGACGTAAAAGGGTCATATGAAAAATCTCAACAAATCTGTGGGCCAGAGAACACCTACTTTTCTTTTTTCATTTTTAATAAACATTTTGCTCTGACTCTAACTGGCAAATTTTAATTCAAAATATGAAAAAACTGAATGCAGGTTTTCCTACTCGTCTGTTTGTTTGAACTACATCTTTTCCTTTTGTGGTGTAACCGCTTCCCCATAGATTGTTGGGGGAGGAGGGTTGAAGTGTGGATTACACTGCAGCACATACTGGGGATTGTAGTGCAGCGCACTGTGAAACAGCCTAATTTTATTAGAAAACTAAAATAATTTTGTGGGCCAGATAGGATTATGCCACGGGCCAGACATGGGTCCTAACCTTAAAGGGATACGTATAGATATCCTTATCATTTTTTACTTTTGCATCTAAGGATTTCGGCCTCTGTCTCTCTCTGTAACTTTAATTTGAGGCTGCACTTTTGCCAAAATGCCACTGTTTATGACTCAGTCTTTCCTACAGATTTGAAATGCACTTAAATATTTACAATGATTTGCTGATTGCTAATACAAATACATAAGTTTTTCATTTACAAGACTATGTAGATGTGTCAGTTCCATACAAAATAAATTACTTTTTATTTACAGACTACAGTGAACCGACAGAAGAAACCATAAACACTGGCAAAAGGGGTTAAACACATGTCGAAAACGACACAATCTAGACTCAAATAATGTCTTTCACACATACATGGACCACTGAAATATTAAAATCCACTTCTAAGATAAACGTGTTTCTTCTGATTGTTTAAACTACCTTAATGACTCCTTAGCACCTCTCTGTGAATCTGCACATCAGGGTACCTGAGCTACGCATCACTCCTCCTCGCACAGCTTCTTGTTAAAATATTTCTCAGTACTGTTCTGTTAGGTAAATATGAGATGAATCACTGGTGTAACTGCAACTAGGAATTCATTCGAACTAAGAAATCAGGACATCTTTGCTAGTTATGTGTGGTAGCCAGCTAACTGTGCTCTTGCTGCTCACTTTGCCGCTGTTTCCCTCACTCTCTCTCTCACTCTGCTGCTGTCTCCCTCAGTCTAACTCACTCTCTCACAAGCTGCATTCACATAACTGTCAAATTAAAGCATGTTGTTTTCTTTTAAATGCATTAATAAAAACGCTCAACATTTTGTATAAATGGTCAAAATATTGATATTAAAACTTTGGCGGGTGTCCATGTACCTTGGCGCACCATCAAAGTATAAGCTACGTGTGGGAAATACTGACAAGTGTAATGGGTAAAATCGTGCTGGCAAATCCCTGAAGGGGTCACTTTAGCCAAGTGGTGGATGGCTATGACCTTAGGTAGCTAGCAATGATAACACAGCTGAAACCAGTCAGCTTTTTCTGCTTAGTTTATGCCTAAAATCTTCAATTACATGACAAAAAGCTACACTCAATCCAGGCGAACAGTGTGACCTTTCACATACATGCAAAATAAAAGTCTGGCATCTTTTCTTTGATGCAAGTTCATTAAGACTTGGGCTGAATTTCTGAACTGCTGAGCTGATGTTGGGTGTTTATATTGGCTGAACTGCAGTAAGTGTGTTTGGTGATATGACTGGTGTGGAATTGTGTAGAACTGAGGTGTAACCGCCGTCCCATAGATTGTTGTTGGGGTAGGAGAGTCAGAGCACACATTACATTGCAGTTCATACTGGGGACTGCAGTGCGTTGTGAAATGGGCTAATATTAATGGGAAATTAAAATATTTTTGCGGGCCGGATAGGATTGTGTCACGGGCCTGATCAGGCCTGCGGGCCTTGTGTCGGACACATGGGCTCTAAATTAAGGAATTTTGACAGTTTAGGTATTTTGACAAACACACGTGTGCTACAGTTTCTGATTAGGTCTCGCCAGCGATACATTCAGAAGTGTCACCTTTATCTCGTTTAAATTTTATGGCCGCTGGAAAATAAATCAGCGTGTGGAATTTGAGCTTTCTGTAAGCTCTCATGTTTCTATCACTGTATAAAAGATGCACAAGCCTTCTTTTTATTGTTGGATGCATTCTGGGCAAATTCAGATCGGTTGGTATTGTTGTTTTTGATCAGAGTAACGATGAAGCACTACTCACGTTGGACCTGTAGTCCTAATCAAAATATAGTTTGAAATGTATGAATTGTCGGTCTTGTTAGATCACATTCTTCACATATCAAACAAATGCAAAAACAGTACTGAGAAGGCACAATATCAAAGGAGAAGAGCAGATTAAATGGCGTAAACAAACCTGACAAAAAGTCAAACCAGATTTTGCTGAATTTCTGCATAAATCAGTGGTTGAGATGTTAAAAAAGCCAGAGTGGTTTGATGTGCAAACTTAGCATTTCTTTACAATGGTGGTGATAGGAACCAGGGGTCATAATGTCTACAACACAAATGTAGCCATTTTATTTACTATCCATAATGAACAGTGAAACTACACGTCTTCTGAATTTTTTATATGTAATATTGATGCTGGTGAAATAGTGGTCAATATGAAAAAAAAGAAATTTCCATGGGGACAATTTTGCCTCAGAACATTTTAATAACTATTGTAAAACTGTGTCTCAGGCATCAGGCAGCACATTCATAACCATTTCATATAATACTTTCTGTGAGGGAGCTTTTAAAGACATTCAACTCTGCAGGCCTTCTGACTTGGTAATTTTTCACATCTAACCACTGTGAATAACTTTAACGTTAGCCCTGGGAAATCCCCTTTAAAGAGGTAAGTGGGACTTTTACTAATGTGCTGTAAAGCTTGTCTAATCTCGCACTATAAAAGTATTTTGCTACGTAAGCATTTGGGTGGAGCATAGATCATAGCACAGGTCAGTTCTGAGTGTTGCATTCTTATATAGTTTATAGCAAACAAATTAATCGTTCACATCTGATCTTGTAACAGGTGTCCCACCCCAGGCTGTGATGGTTCGGGCCACATCACTGGCAACTACGCCTCTCACCGAAGGTATGGCTAGTCTTATAACCTTACCAACATACACACAGGCACACACAGCAGGACATATATATGCAGAGTGAGACAGTGGCAGTTGCGATAGGACCCACACATACACAACACAAATACAATGCACACATGATGCTTCCCTATGATTGAGTAATGCCTTAGAATGGGGAACAAATTTGATTATGGGGTTTATGTTTTTTGTGCATGCTATTTGCTGTCTGATTACTTTTTCGGCAAGTTCTCTGTGCTGTTCCCCACTCTTCTGCTTGCCTGCTATCTGCTGCATCTACTTGTACTGTTACTTGAATTTGGCCTGACTTATTTGGCTCAGATGATCACTTATGTCCAGTGGGCTGTAGTCCTAGGCCGGTATTGCTTTCTGGCTACTCTCATCATGGGCTGCATACTCTCTGTTTTCAGTTTGTCTGGGTGCCCCCGTGCCAAGAAAGGCGGAATAAAAACGACCCCCACCAAGGACGACAAGGAGGACTCCGAGCTTTTAAAGTTCGTACCGTGTAGAAAGGCTCTTACAATACTGTACGGTATTGTATAGTTGGGCTGTTCACTTTAAAACTCAAAGGAGAGCGATTATAAAAAGTACATATTACATAGTAGTGTATGTAGTATGATAAATATTAGATAAGTACATATTCACCCTAGCAGATTTTTCAACAAACTGACAACCATTTTACTGCAGTGCACTGTAGCTTAATGCAGTTTAGCCAAGCCCTCTCAAACCTAGCTTTTCCAGCTGCACCACCATAAACATAATAGAAGACCCTATGTGAATGTGCATGAATGTTATTCCTTTTTCCTAGTGTACTGGACAGTGTAAAAGTACTGCTTACCCTTTTTCTGCACAAGTATCACCTTGTTTAACACCTTGCTACCACTAATTCATATGAAAATTGAGGTGCGTCATGGCCAGAGGTGCAGAAATATTCACAGCTCTGTGATCACGGTGCATGACTAGGATACTAATTGCAGCGTTCAGTGTTACAATATAAAAAGTATAGCTGTGCAAAACGCAGGGCTAATTGGTGTAATTGAAGGGGCAGTGGCAAGGTGATATTTCTGACCAGATGAATGCTCTTTGCTGTTAACCTCTTGGTCATCTGACCTGACCTTCATAAACTCTTCATTCAAAACCAGTGTCTCTAATCTCAGCCTCATCTCTCTTGTTCTCCTCCTCTCTCTCCCCCACTCTTTCTCTTTCGTTTCCTCTCTCTCTCTCTCTCCCCCTCAGGTGTCCAGTGCCAGGTTGTGACAGTCTGGGTCATATCAGTGGGAAGTATGCAACTCACCGCAGTGCGTATGGGTGCCCGCTGGCTGCCCGCCGTCAGAAGGAGGGGCTGCTGAACGGGACGCCTTTCTCCTGGAAGGCCTTCAAAACGGAGGGACCCACCTGCCCCACGCCGGGCTGCGACGGATCAGGCCACGCCAACGGCAGCTTCCTCACCCACCGAAGGTGCAGTACTGCACAGACTGTAGACCTGTTGATAAAGGCGGTGGAAAACTGTGAAACCTGGCTGTTTTATCATTAAGGGTCATTCTGCAGAAACGTCCAATTTTTTTATCTATCCATAGTTTTACCAGTGTTACCAGTCCTCATTGGTGTTACACATAAGAAAGGTAACACCAGAGACATTTTTAATAAAAAAGGAATTTAACAAAATGGCTACAGCAGAGCATCAAACCACATGTTGTCAATCATGGAATATCCACTAAAATATGTAATTAAATCCATTAGTATTCTATTTTTTCACAATGACCTCAGAATAAAGTCGGTCACACCAGTGACGTCAGCTAAAAGCTTCATATGAAATCATGAGCTAAATGAGAAAATTTCTAATAACTGAAAGACACAGTGGACTCACCATGTGCTTTTCTTCATAGATCCTCAGAAAACAGGTAAAAGGAAGTCAAGTGATGTCATCAGTGTGATTTTTATTTCAAAATAAGAGATTTTTTGTTACGCAGTAACACCAGTGACACGACTCCTGGGCACCACAACTTTCATTACATATTTTATAATATTTATTTGTCATCTGTTTTCTTTATGTCATTTAAATCATATATTTCTTAGTCATGTATAGGTTATTGCAGTTAAAATTGCAGAAAAACATGTTTTTTACCTCGAAATGTGGCCTCAGCCTTGACAACCACACATGACTGTGAGGACGAGCTCTTCTGTGTTGCTTGGAATTCTATATGATTGATTGAAAAACCAATATTGCTAAATTGAGGCTCAAGAAGCTGTAATTGTTAAAATAACCTGTTGTTTTTATTTTAAAATGTAAATAAATTGTAAGCCTAACATGTTTTTCATGTGTAATATATCTGTAAACGCTAGGGACACAAAAATGGACAATTCCATAGAATGACTCTTAAAATAGATAAACAGATACTTCAGAGGGTTTTTATGCAGTTACTTTAAACAAATACTTCAACTAGAAATCAAACAGGGACAATTTTTTAACTTAGCACCAGTGTAGTTGATCAGCCGAGGCATGCTGGGTGTCTGAAGTTTGCTTCTGTACTTTTGCACTGGAGCTATGAGGCTAATGTAGTTAACAGGTAGTGGAAGTGAATGTACACCACACGTCTTGTGAATTGTATACATTTAGAAAACAGTTGCATTCATTCATTGTGTGTTTTCTTTGGTCTCCAGTCTTTCTGGCTGTCCCCGGGCCTCCCTGGCTAAGAAGAAAGCCAAGTTTCCTGGAGAGGAGTATCTCAGCTCGAAGTTCAGGGCCAGTGATGGTGAGAACAACAGAACGTCTCTCTGTTTCACTTGTTTCTTACTGCTCTCCTCACACATCCATCGCCCTCCTCAGGGAAGTTATTCTATGAATATTCTGATCATTTGTTCTCTCTCTGCAGTGCTGGATAATGATGAGGACATCAAGCAACTCAATAAAGAAATCACTGAGCTCAGTGAGTCCAACAATGAGATGGAAGCTGATATGGCCAACCTGCAGACACAGGTTAGCCATTCATTTTATCGGACCATCACATTGGTACACCGAGTAAAGAATGTCCAACCTGTCCAACACAAGAACGACCATGTAGATTTAACTACAGATTACTATAGTACAGCGTGGTTTAAAAAGATTCATCCTGTTTCAAAATGATTTATTTCACTTGTAAATCATTACAGAACAGTGCAGTGAACTGTAAATGGTTTAAATGAGCATAAAGTTTATTATGTAATTGTACAAGGTCTCAGTATGAACCTCCTCCAGCTGTACAGACAACATCAACGCCATAGTCAAACTCATCCCATACTGGATTGAGCATGTCGGGTGTCGCTGCACTCACGGCTCTTTCAGTGCGATTTCGGAGATCATCCAGTGTTGTGGAACCAACGACGAACGCTCTGTTGGAGGTTCACTGCCCACGAAAATCACGTTGCACAGTTATGACGGATTCACTGTTATTGAAGTGGAGAACGCAGAACGCTTTCTGCTCAGGGGTCTCATCTCCTCTCAGACTGAAGGGAGCCATCTTCCACTGAGAGTTGGTTAAAGCCTGTCTGGTAAACAGGAGATCCTGGGTTCGTATCCCAGCAGTGCCTTGTTTCTTAAGTAGAACTTCGGGGCAGTTGTGGGCTGGAAGGTTAGGGAACCAGCCTGACCAGAAGGTTGCTGGTTCGATCCCCTTAGCTGACAGTACATGAGCAAGGCTAACCCCCAACCGCTCCAGCCAAGTGTGCTCACTGCCCCCTAGTGTGTGTGTGTTCACTAGTGTGCATGTATATGGGTGTTTCACTGCACGGATGGGTTAAATGCGGAGGTCTAATTCCTCTGTGTGCAAACACAGTTGGCTAATGGTTCTGAATTCTATTCTAATTCTATTCCATTCTCTATGACCCCCTCTTTCAATTGGATTGTTATTGCCTCACGGTTATAAAAATGTGGCTCTTTGAAATCGGATGAACCTTTTTAAATCACCCTGTATATTTATATATGACTACCATAGAACTATGGCTGCACTGCTTACACAAAAATATGTTTTCTGATCGTATGTATTTGCAATCACAAGCCTTTGCAATACTGTTACTGCAGAACGCAGCAATATGCAAATGAGCCCTCCACACCATCACAGTGCATTTTCTGCTGTGTGGTGAGAACCTGACCAATCTTGACCTATCAATCACAGTTCTGGATGAGTGTTTTATGAGTGTTTTGAATCAACATATTCATGCAGTCCAACTAAAGAAAATGATTTTGCTCAAAATAATGCCGACATATCTTAAACAGTCATGTTATTGATTTACTGGTGCTTTTTTAATATACTTCCTAAAGATGCAAACAGAAGAAAGAATATTCTGGAGAAACACTATCTATATGATCACCATGAGTCATAATCATCTTGACAGCATATACAAGGTTTATTACTAGCATTTGTACAATGCTTAGTTCCAGCCACGCAAGCTGATTGGTTGAGAAGCGTTCTAACTGTGCTGTTATTTCGCCACAACATCACAGGTTTTTCACAAACACTGTATCACTCCGCTGAGACGCCGTTGCTAAGCAACGACTTTGACAGCTGTAGGAGACGCTCAAGCCATTTGAACGTTTTTACTTCTTACTTTGCCACAAACAGAAAACGGATACTTTTAAGATCACATTTGACCGACAGCTGATTTGGTCAGACTCTGAAGATGAGGCTACACAAAATTCCCAAACTGTCATCACCACTGAGCAGCTTTTCAGTCGGCAGCTGTGACAGAACAACACAAACAACCTGGAATCAGCCAGAAATGAACCCAACACCATTCGCCAAACTAAATGGGCTGTAAGATGCTTTACAGACTGGCTGGAACAAAACAACATTAATATTGATCTAGTAAGAAATGACAAAACTGAGCAAAACTTGATATTGCGGCAGTTTTATGGCTCAGTCTTCAAAAGGCGAGGCTTACAGCAGACTGAGCAGCGAGTGGGCGGAGCTCGTTACTCTGACGTAGCAACAAGCTGCTTGTTAAGGAACTATAATTTGGTGAAGGAACTGCGAACATTAAAACATATTAAACGCGTTCACGACCCAGTTTATTAATTTATTACTTTATTTATTTAACTGTTGTATAAAAGCAATAGAACACAGGAGGGAGTGTGTTATCATGAATAACATCACGGTTGTGATGATCTACGGCGACCAAATCACAGCCGTAATGTTATTTCACGATAACACACTCCCTCTCGTGTTCTACTGCTTAAGTATTGTTAGCATTTTGCAGCACTAGATTTAACCATGCAATAAAAAAAGAACCTCTACACAAACATACTGCAAACATAATTGTGCTTTATGCGGGAAACCGGGCTGTAAGAGAAAGGCTTGAGTCTGAACTTATAGTTGTAAATGTTTCCCTGCATTTATGATGCCCTTCAGATCTCATCCATGGAGAGGAACCTGAAGAACATTGAGCAGGAGAATAAGATCATTGACGAGCAGAATGAAGCTCTGTTTATGGAGCTGTCAGAACTCAGCCAAGCCCTTATGAATCAGGGTGTGCTTCATGTAAATGATATGTAAATGAGATCCTGGTAGGCTGGCGCTTGATTTCATGCACTGAAGCTGATTCATCATCAGTTACGGTCAAATCTCTGGTTGTTTCCATGTCGTAGAAACGTTTAAAGGCCATTAAATCTGCACTCTTTTTTACACAACGTTGATGAATATGGGCCATGGTGATTCTAATATGGCTTGCAATATATAAAAATGCATTGGTGAATTAATAATCTGGCACAGTTAAAGATCAGCCTGTATTATTTATCCAGAATACTTTACCTTTGTCACTCATGACCATCACAGCACACAGTAAAACTCATTGCAATTGGTTAGGGGGCTGATTTGCATAGTGTAGTCTTCTGTGATGTTAGTATCGTAGAAGCCAATGTTGCGATAATAATTAACAAACGATATATCGTGCAGCTTTAATGCAAACATTACTCATGGAGAGAATCCAATGTGGGTGCTTTAAGCGGTTTGTTTACCCATATCTGACCTTATTTATTTATTTATTTATTAATATATGAACTATGTTTCATTCGCAGAAGCACCAGTCCTTTCACATTCATTTGCAATATTTATGCTAGAGTAATATAATGTATTTTCTCCTCAGTCCAATCCAGTCATAGATAGTTATATCTGTTATATTTATGATAAAAACGAAAAATGAATTGCACTTCTTTTCTTCAATTAATAGTTTAATAGGTTTGATTATCACTGAAATTATTACTACTGTCAGTCTTATTACTGTTCTATAAATCGATCATTATCTATCTAACTTTAGTTTATTTACATTTTGTTATAATTGATTTGAATTCACTTTTTGCTATGGAAAAAAAATGGCAAAATAGACAAAAATAAAAAAAAATAGCCCCTCCATTAACAACATTAATGTAAGAATGAAGAAAAGAAACTTTCGAGAAATCTACCATCCGTTCTCGTACCTTATTTTCTTAACCGATAGATTAAGTGCGAATATTTTTTCAGATCTCGTCCATGGAGAGGAACCTGAAGAACATTGAGCAGGAGAATAAGATCATTGAAGAGCAGAACGAAGCTCTGTTTATGGAGCTGTCAGGACTCAGCCAAGCCCTTATACGCAGCCTGGCCAACATCCGCCTGCCCCACATGGTGAGCTATCACACTTAAACACACGCAAATACAAACTCAGTGAGTTTGTAGTAGCACAATCTGCTACAACGTCTGTTGTTATTCCTCCTAGCTCCTCATCAAACTGCGTTAATTCGTACATTCGTGAGGCTGTAATAAGGTTTGCTTGATTAGCCATTGTTATTTAATGAATTTCAATGCCAAAAGGCCACTGTTTGGGCTGTAGTTTCAATTAATGTAATTCATTGTCACAAATTTCCACAAACAAAGGCCTTTGTACATTAAAAAGCAGACGCATTTGCATACAAACAACCTGTTTTGCGCCACAGCCACCGATAGTCCCTCTCACTTTTGCATTGCAGCAGGAGCCAATCACAGAGCAGAACTTTGAAAGCTACGTGAGCACTCTGACTGACATGTACACCAATAAGGACTGCTACCAGAATCCAGAGAACAAGGCCCTGCTGGAGACCATCAACCAGGCTGTGAAAGGTATTAAGGTGTGACTCCTGCCTGCGGGATCGCCCCCCGGAGGCGCGGAAGATAAACGACGTGTGTAGAGCCGAAGAAGAGCGTGCGTTAGAAGTCACACTCACATAAAAAAAAAGGGCATTCAGGTTTTTTTTGTTTGTTTGTTTGTTTTGAACAACAACAGCCTTCATCCCAGGGAGAATTCTGTGTTGAGAGAAAAAAATAGAAAGATATAATATATATACATATTAATATAAGGACTAAAATCCACAAAACAAGCTGCTGGATTGGAAGTGGAGGATAACAGAACCAAATCCTTCAGAAAAAGACCTGTTTTTTGCCTACGTTATTTTATTTCTGTTATCGGAGGGGTGTGCACCGTTCATCTTCGGCCGGTTTTAAGAGGGAAGACGGAGGATGAAGAAGAGAATCTGAACTTCAGCATCTGTCGGGGGACAAGCGAGGCCCTTTGGATGAAAGCAAGGAATGTCCTTGTGTTGCCTGTGGGGGTCTGCAGCCCCTTTATCAGAGCAGACACCACACTCCGTCTACTGAATGATCATATCCGCAGGCTGCTAAGACCCAGCATAGTGCTCATTATAATCCCCAGAGGTGAAGCAGGTATGCAGCATTTTATTTGTTCTCCATGAGTTTTGATCTGGCTTAGGTGCCAAGCTGGAGGAAGCATCTGTGAAATAAGCAGCTGCCTCAGAAATGCGTGCTAGAGCTGCACGATATGGACAAAATAGTAGTATTGCAATGATATTGTTACATATTGGCCTTTATTCTTCAAAGTTGCGTACAGTCAAATCTGAGGGCACATTTCACCAACAAACTCATGTGGTAGAAATGCATGTACATTTCAGCATAACAGTTTGAGAGCCTGAAAGAAAAGCTTGATTTGCCGTTAATTAACCAAAATTATTGTCAAGATCTTCTTTAATACCAATAATAAGAATGAAAATAGAAGATAACAATGATAATAATTTGCGCAGTACAAAAGTGAATGTACTTATTTTGCATGCACGTTGGTATAAACAAATGCAGCAACTATTCCATGTTCCACATTTTACACTGTGCTTTTGTTTTATGCTACAGACACCACCAAAAATACAAAATACAGAACACAGCTAGTGCAGAAGCCTCTCATACACTGCAATAATACAGCCTTTAAATAGGATATTTTGGGAAAATAATCACACACAAAAATCACTGTCTTAAAAAAACTACATATACTACACTACAGCCTTGTTTACTTCACATGTTATTTGCTCCAGATGTTGTAATTTTAACACTAACGTTTGGTCAGTCACTCGTTTGGCAAGGCACTCCCTGCTCAGTCTCAAACTCCGCCTAAAAGCACAGCCATTGGCTCACAAGCCATTGAATGGTGTCATTTTATTGACTCTCTACCATCTGCATGAGTTAGGGCGTGTTTCATGTAAATGATATGTAAATGAGGTTCTGGTAGGCTGGCGCTTGATTTCATGCACTGAAGCTGATTCATCATCAGTTACGGTCAAATCTCTGGTTGTTTCCATGTCGTACGAAAGTTTAAAGGCAGTCAAATCTGCACTCTTTTTTACGCAACGTTGATGAATATGGGCCATGGTGATTCTAATATGGCTTGCAATATATAAAAATGCGTTGGTGAATTAATAATCTGGCACAGTTAAAGATCAGCCTGTATTATTTATCCAGAATACTTTACCTTTGTCACTCATGACCATCACAGCACACAGTAAGGGGGCTCATTTGCATATTGTAGTCTTCTCTGATGTTAGTATCGCAGAAGCCAATGTTGCGATAATAATTAACAAACGATATATCGTGCAGCTCTAATGCAAACATTACTCATGGAGAGAATCCAGTGTGGGTGCTTTAAGCGGTTTGTTTACCCATATCTGACCTTATTTATTTATTTATTTATTAACATATGAACTATGTTTTGTTCGCAGAAGCACCGGTCCTTTCACATTCATTTGCAATATTTATGCTAGAGTAATATAATGTATTTTCTCCTCAGTCCAATCCAGTCATAGATAGTTATATCTGTTATATTTATGATAAAAAAGAAAAATGAATTGCACTTCTTTTCTTCAATTAATAATTTAATAGGTTTGATTATCACTAGTCTTTAAATTATTACTACTGTCAGTCTTATTACTGTTCTATAAATCGTTATCTATCTAACTTTAGTTTATTTACATTTTGTTATAATTGATTTGAATTCACTTATTGCTATGGAAAAAAATCCAGCATAGCCCCTCTATTTACAACATTAATATACGAATGAAGAAGAAAAAACTTTAGAGGAACCTACCATCCGTTTTTTGTACCTTATTTTCTTTGACGATAGATTTTTAAGACTTTTTTTAAGTGCAAATATTTTTAACTGACAAAGTTTTGATAATTTTATAAGGTTGTCATTTGTTTTTGTTGTTTTGCATTGTGTTATGTTTTGTTTTACAAATCCTGAGCTACCCCGTGCTAATGGAGAACTCAAATGTGTATTTATTATTTATTCAATATTTATGAACTAATGAACTGTGATAAGGTTGTACTGTATATTTATTTTGTAACGTGCTTGTGACGACTGAGTCTGAGTAGGCGAAACTGTTGAAATAAAGACGCATAAATGATACTTGGACGAGAAAGAAAAATGTATGATCATCATGGGAGGGAGGGAAAGGGGTGTGGGGGGGGTTACTTAAAACGCCAGCAACACTTCCTATGGGAATGTACAAAAACAATTCTGCGGCACTTTCCGTGTGTTTCAGCGGAAAAAGGAAATCTGAACCTTCTCTGGATCTTCTTTCACAGACTTTTACCATATCAAGATCTCAGTATGGCCCAAGATGTTTTATATATATATATATATATATATATATATATAATATATATTGTGTGTCTGTGTATAGAAATACTACTGATGGAATATTTTTCTCTCTGTTGATCTGTCTGTACAAACATTCTGGACGATGTACAATGTTTTTCTTTTGTTTTATTTGGGGGGGGTTGGATTGGGGTGGGGGAGTGTAAATGGGGTCCGGTAAAACACACAAAATACCTTGAGGGAAACTTTTTTTGGAACCACAAAGTCCTTACTCAGCTAGTGTCCGATAAGCATACACCCTTGTAGCCTTATTCTTGATTTTTTATTTTTGAAATGCACAAAGTGCCACTAACCCACGCTTTCTTTACCGACTCCGCCCATTCAGCGACCACACAGATCCCGAGTCATGTGACCGTGGCGTAAGCCGTGTGGCGTTCGTTGCCTTTATTCCTTTATGCCGAAATGGCCATAACTACACTATATATACATTCTGTATAAAAAAAAAGACAAGAAACTATATATAGAATATAAACATACATATATTTTTCCAGTGTAATTGTTAACTCTTTCTCTTATTGTAGCTTATCAGAGAAATGATATCTTTTGAAAAAGCTGTATTACTACCAGTAGGAGACGAAATGAAAAAAGAAAAAAAAACAAGACCCGTTTTACTGTGGTGGCAGGATACAGTGTGTTTTATAATATGTAAAGGTACATTTCTAAAAACCTACAGATGCTGAGGTTGTTTGTAAACTTTCCTATTTTGGGGCTTGTTTTCCGGTCCACAGTCGCTGGGCTCCGTGTATGTTATGCTCATGTAAATGGGACAGTGGTGAAAAAAAAAAAAAAACAAGGGTAGTCCGTTCTTAACCCGTCTTAGTGTTAAAGCGATTGCAGTTGAGTCTGTACCTGTGAAGATGCATCGTAGTAACTTCATGGTGGTCCTGCTCTTAGTATCGTGTGGTGTTTGTGTCAGTTCTGGTGGGCCACAGATATTCGTCTCCGACGCCAACCATGACACCAAAAGCAGTGTGATTCGTATTAGCGAGTTGTGAAATGAACGTCGTGCCTCCTTATATTGCGAGAACATCGCTGTTGTCTTCAGCTAGAAGGCCATGCTGTAGAAGTGGTAGCGTTCATTAGGTGTTTTACGAAAGCGACGTACAGAACAGAACTTGTGTGCACTTTCGAGATTGTTGAATGCCAACTGACGACCTTTCAGCCAAAATCTATAGGGAAAAAAAACACATTATTAGCTAACGGATGTCTATTGATCGCAAAAGGAGTGGGACAAAATGCGTGTGTCTTTTACATGTTTGTTGCTGTTCAGTGTAAATCTGTGTTCTGTCTGTGAAACGTAGAATTCCCTTGGAGGCAGCATTCGGGCAGTGTTGAGACCGAGATCTGGCGAGGCCACCACGTCTAAACAAACAGGTCTAAGCTCTGAGAAACGTCTCGCTTTGGGTCAAACCCTGAATCTGAAAGCTGTAAACGAAGTGAGAAAACCAGAGGTTGAGCGGGAGCTCTAAGATTTCCATTGATATGCTGACCGGCGTCTCTCGCTCCTGCACCGCGAGAGTGGAGGAGACGTTAGTTGCATAAATTTCCGTCCATTTCGTATAATGTCAGAACCTTCCCTGGCCTCATCCTCTCCTTCTCCTGTAACCTTTCCCCAGGAAAGATGTGGAGTTGCATTTGAATATGAAAGTGCTCTGCTTTAAGAGAACGTTAGAGGAGAACATGGGGAATAGGGTTACTCCTCTGATCTTTCTGCTGTAGGACCAGCTCATCCGTAAAGGTTGATTTTTTATTTTCAGCCTAATCTCTGTCTGCTGCATCCCCAGCATACGGTTAATTACTACAGGCAGTAATTTCTTTGTACTTAGAAAAGGACGGGAAATGCATCGATTGCAATAGAAGCTAATGAGCAGTTGTTGCAGTTGCAGCATGTGCCCATTGACTTCTATTGTAAGTGTTCAGAGTGTTTAGGGTTCATGTCAAAATTATTATCCTTGGTAATTGACTGTGTGCTATGGATGCAATAGATAGAAATTATGTTGAAAAATGTCAGAATTAAAGCTTTCTATTGCAGGAGTAGTTCGTAGCCCCAGCGCTGCACCTTTCAATAAGCTAATACATTCAATCTAACATTCACCTCAGTCTTTCATGAGCTGGATTAGACATGTTAGAGCAAGGACTTCAGTGTCCAGCGAATATATGGTCAGGACTATGACTGCTAGTGTAGTCCTAAGACTATATTACTTCTATTAAGTAGCACTGCAGGGAGATCGTTATCTTTATTTGGCCACAATGGAAGTTCATGATAAACATTGGTATCTGCTTATTACCACTGACATCAGTACCATGAAGCATGCATGAGTTCTTATGCCTTGTTGCATGCTGTCTTAGCAGTAGTTGTCAGTGATGATAAGTAGCTAGAAATGTTGTATTTATTTATTTATTTATTTATTTATTTGAATTTTATCAAGTTTCATAATGT